GCTTCAAGAAGTCGACTTTGGATATGATACATTGGTCGCAAGGCCTGTTCGGATACATTGGTAGCCTGGATCCTTTACTAGACGCCCTCGCACCAGTATCAAGCAAGAGCGTCGAAGCCGATTCAACGCCTCCTCAAACACCGCCGATATTCGACGGCGATCTCACGATACCCGCTCTTCAGCGAGCGTATAAGAACGGTCTTTCGCCCCTAACAGTCGTTGACGCGGTCTACGACAAAATCGAAGCGTACAAGAAGATAGATCCGGCAGTATGGATACACCTGCCGCCACGCGTAGTGACTCTAGACGCCGCAAGACAGTTGATATCGACTTTTCCTGATCGAAACGCTCTTCCACCTCTATTTGGCGTTCCGTTCAGCGTCAAAGACAGTATCGATATCGCTGGTCTTCCTACCACAACTGCATGTCCGCCACTTGCTCATGTACCTTCCTCGTCTGCTCCTGTGTACGAGAAGGTCATCGCTGCAGGTGCTTTGTTTGTCGGAAAGGCCAACTTAGATCAACTCGCTACCGGACTTGTAGGCTGTCGCAGTCCATACGGTATCACTCATTCAGTATACCACGAAGACTATATCAGCGGCGGTTCGAGCAGCGGCAGCACAGTATCTGTAGGAGCTAACCTCGTCTCATTCTCCCTAGCAACGGATACAGCCGGTTCAGGCAGAGTACCTGCTGGTTTCAACGGCATCGTCGGATACAAGCCCACACGAGGAACAATCTCCTTCCGAGGCATTACACCGGCATGTCTGTCACTAGACTGCATCGCACTCTCCACCAAAACCATATCCGACGCGCGAACTCTCTGGCAAATCCTCGAAGGCCACGACCCACTCGACCCCTACGCGAAACCCGAGATAACATTCGAACGCCACGTAAACAGTATCGGACCCCAATCGCGCAAATTCAAATTCGGCATTCCACCACCCGAAGCACTCGCCATCTGCTCAACACCAGCTCGGCGCATGTTCAACGAGACGGTATCGAAACTACAAGCAATCGGCGGCGTTCTCACACCAATCGACTGGTCGCCCTTTCAAAAGGCGGGTCAACTCCTCTACGATGGCACTTTCGTTTCCGAACGCCTGGCCTCTCTTCCAGATGACTTCCTCAAGAAGAACCGCTCTGCACTACATCCTGTAACCGCCCAGCTCATGGACGCTGTTGTTGCGCGGAAGAGCTCGGCCGTAGATGTATACCGCGACCTACAAGCGCAAGCTCTCTATACCCGCCAAGCAGAGAAAGTTTTCGCATACTCCGCTTCTGGCGTTGACGTAGTGGTTGTACCAACGACGCCTACGCACTGGAAGATAGACGAGGTGCTGGCGGACCCAATCAAGAAGAATAGTATCTTGGGCGAGTTCACGCATTGTGGGAATGTGCTGGATTTGTGTGGTGTGGCTGTTCCGGCGGGGACATATCCTGTTAAGGAACTGAGTGGGAAGGAGGAAGATGGTGGTGTGTTGCCATTCAGCGTAACATTTTTGAGCGGCTCGAGACTTGATGCTGAGATGCTGGAGATTGCTAGAAGGTTTGAGGAGAGTATGAGCGTTTGAGATGGCTATCTGGTTGTTCATCCAGGACTTACGGTTGTGCGTATGAGATATCGATATCGTATCTGATGGGGTGTCTCAAGACATTCGAGGATGAACTCAAAACATCTTAAGACGTCTAGAGATATCCATTGCAATGTATCACCCATGGTCACCTGTTTGTCGACCCAGTGTCTTTAAACTTCGTTTGCTAGACCATACATACTTAGGCAGCTCTTACAGTCCTCCACTGGAAGAAGTAATTAAGCCCATCATCCAACGTTAGTGCCCAGCCTACCCAGGCATGTAATCACAGCTATAACTCCCACTTCCAAAATAGAAACATGGATCAGAATACTGACCGTCGCGACTCAGCTGTGGTGGACGACGATCCAAATCAGCACCTAGTTTTCCATCAGCGCAACTCTATATCTGAATCATACAGCTCAGATGATTCCGAAATCTCCCACTCTCCTTCACTCCCATCCCTAAAGCGCCCCTACTCTCCCTCTCAAAGCGCTGGCTTCCCAGACATCTTACGCGCCAATAAGTTCACACCAACTCAACATGCGTATAATAATAATAGAGACACCCGCAAATACAAACCAGTTGAACAGCCAGAGAAGGTGAAATGAACTAAGGCTGTCAACTCCAGGATGGGAGCCACTAAAGAAAACAAAGCGCCAAAGTGCAGGTATGGTCACCGGAAACTTGATCAGAAGGGAGATGATATAAAGAATAAAGTGTGCTGGTTTCACGGGGGTAAGCTAGGTGAGGATAAGAAGGATGCGCCGTGTCAAACGAAGTAGAGAACAATTTCAGTAGCACATGCCCATACATACACATAGAACGTAAAATTCAATCGTGACAATCTGATAATTGTACCCATGATAAAAATGACTATGAACAAGAAGACCCAAATCAAAAAGCAGATCATGCCGCTATGCCAAAACTCAATATTAATGAGGAAAAAAAAAGAGAGAAACAAGCAAACAACGTATCTCGTATACATTCATCTCAACCTAGCCATATCCGTCCCCTCTACAACGACAACGCAACAGCAGCGAAAAGCGCAACCACGAAGCCAATCGTAGCCCCACTGTTCAACTTGCCACCCGCACTATCGCCATGAATTCCCAAAATCTCCGCCTGCCTCGAGAAAGTAACATTTTGCTGAATCGTCTCATTCAAGCACTGTCCGTTAACGATATCCAGTCCAGCCAAATCATTTGGCTCACGGAAGAACATGTAGCTCCTGTTGTTCAGACCCTTGAAGCCCTCGGTGTTGTACGGGAACCACATGGTGTCGTCGGTGGCAGAGGTATTGCGGAGGAAGATACATTGGACTTGGTTCGGGAAGTCGTGAGCGAGCTGGGGGTAGTCCTTCATGACGTCGCTGTTTGAAGTGTCGGCCACGAGGACGAATTTGCGCTGAGGGAAGGTGGCAAAGACTTTCTGGAGGAGGAACATGCGGATGGAGAGGGTAGCGGATACGTCTGAGAAGTTGAGCGGGCGCGTGTCGAAAGAGCCACCGGGGTAGGTCTTGTAGATGAAGTCCATGTAGAGACGGGTGGCCTGCTCGGGGGTGGTGGTCAGGTAGTGGAAGTGCGTGTTGTTGGGGAGGGTCTGCGACCAGTTTGCGTAGATCTCGGGCATGTTCATCCAGGGGGTGAAGGGACGGGCAAAGGAGTTTAGAAGGCCTTCCTTGGGGTCGTAGATCTTGGTTACACGCAGGATGTCGTCAATGTCGGAGATGAAGGTGATACCCTCAGATGGCACGAGGAAGGCAGTGGCATTGCCGCTCATGGTGCCGTTGGTGTAGACGTTCAGGCGTTGGACGTTGTTGGTCTCGTTGCCGGGGAGGAGGCCGTTGGACTGGATCGGTACGAAGACGTCAAAGTCGCCCTCTACGGTCGTCTCGTAGGGGAGGGTGAGGTTCTGGACGCCGCCAGGTGCCTCGACAGAGTTGCCGCCTCCGGGCTCACCATCACCACCCTGCATGGGCGCGGGCTCGAGCGACATGGAGACATTCTCACCGCCTTGCTGGACGACGAAGATGGATCGCGTGAGGTTGCGTGCCTGAGCCTTCTGGTTGTCAGGCAGCTGGTCAACACTGGTGTCGATCAGGAAGACGTTGGCCAAGTCGTCGACCTTGCTCTGCGAGATGTCCGGGAACTTGTAGACATTGCCGTGGAAGCGAACGTTCCAGCCCTGGTCGGTCCAGTTGGCATAGGGAGGAATGTTGAGGACTTCGGTGGGCTTCGCAGCCAAATCGTCGTCGTTAATGCCGAGACTTGAGAGGACTTGGCTGCCGGTAGGCAGGTCCTCGAACCAGCCGGGGATGCCTAGTGACGAAGTGTCAGCACAAGCCTTACTAGCGCAAGGCTTGCCTTGGATGCATTTGCTTACCCTCTGTGAAGAAGCTGGGCAGGTCTGTTCCCAGAACGCTGCCTATCGAGTTTGCATAGTTCTCTACGCCACTCTTGATGTCGTCGATGATATCCCTCTTCTGCACATAGCTGTGTCGCCCATCGAACCGGATGGCCGCGGGAGTCACAACAGGCGCCCGAACTTCGACCTTGGCGGGAACAGCTGTCGGCTCTGGCACGGCGACTGCACCAGCGAGACCAAGTGTCGCGCTGAGTAGCAGAGCTCGCTGAGATGCGCGTTGATGCACCATCTTGTTGGTGTTGTTGTGATGACAAGGATTGAGGTCTAAAGGGGCCCTCGCGTGCAAGTCGCGTGTAGGGAAATTACAAGTCGAAGCGACAGACTGAAAGGGAAGAGTGGAAGGAAATGCACAAGGAAAAGAGGAGAAGGTGGCGGAGAAACCTTGGAAGATGGCGATGTGCAAACCGCGCTTGTCGTGTTTCGTCTCGGGCTAACAGCAGGTTTACAGCGAAATTGATGGTGTTGGTTGCTGCAGGTACAGCTAGCATGATGTCATTGTGGCTGTTGGTGCATGGGGCTGTGCTTAGGGGCTGCGCTAGCGCAGTTGATCGCCTCCCGGGATCGATCCACTGCGATTTCACTCCATAACTCAAACACTCCTTCGGAACTCGGCAGACGGATAAACGGAGAGACGTATTTGCAGGCATGAGAAGCTGATGATTGTTCCTTATGTCATTGGTAGGAGTATGTTGCCAGTGGAAGATACGGTACCTACGGACCTATTCGCAACCTACCAACGCCAACCCGAGGCTTCAACGGCGTCATCCTCTGTAGCGATTTTCCCATGTCCTGATATCCCCCCCTCAGCGGCCAACACATACCCGGAGGGCCTAAATCACTCAAGCCACAACGTCTCCGTGAATCGTCCCATGCTTCGCGTAGTATGCCGTGCACCTCGTCGTCAGGCGCCATAGAGTCGAAGAGATGGCAGAATGCCCTCATACTGTCTTCGAACGGCTCTTCGTTATTAGATGAATACCGGTACGGGGCTCTCTCCCAAAATCCGGGGATGGTAGATGCCCAGGATGTGCCAGACGGCGATCGCACTTCTTCGCCGTACCATCCTATCATGTCCAAAGAGTACCAAGGTATTGTGAAGTTGCCTGCTGGGTTGAGGCTATCCACAGGTTTGGTGATGGTTGCGAGGATTTTCTCTTCGTCCTTTCGATCTATCCTCGTCTTTTCATTGTCTAGGAAGCGCTTGTGGACCTTGCGGACGAGGCTGGACAGGGAGAGGAGATTTGCGCGCTCGTCGTCGCAAAGGATTGTGTTCGTGCCGGTTGGTATAGGAATGTCGTGGAGAGCTGCGTTCAGCTCGTCGAAGTTGGCGCCAAGAGTAATCGCAACAATCTCGATAAGGAACCGACGCAACTGCTCTATCTTGCATTCTGGTGGCTGGGCTTGCGATGGAGCGTGGAACTTGGTTTCATTCTCGGCGATTTTGGTGTACTCTGGTGGAGGACTGGAAGGTAAATCATGCTGCTTTATTGGCGACGAGGTGTTTGGAGGAGGAAGACGAGATATTTGGAAGCGACCTAGACGGCCTAGACTGAAGGTTGGCATGATGGCAATATTCCAGTACAGCTGAAGAGATTTGGAGAAACTGGGAGATACATGGAGATTGAGAGAACGTGAGGAAGATTTTATACATCTAATGAGAGCGTACTAGTAAAACCAGGGTTTACGATCGCTTGGGTCAGCAAAGAGGGGTTTTGTACCAAGGCAAAGGACATGCACGGTTTCAATCAAATAAAAGTAAGCGAGAAGTGACTGGATGAGAATCTTGTTGGTCTTTTTCGAATGGTACGAGCTACGTATACTATCTATACTATCTTTGCTATCTATACTATCTATGCTACCTATTCTATCTAGTGATTACATACATGATCCAGAGATGAGCACCGATCTCGTACTAGGGTTTTTGGAATGAAGTCTTGGTTTCTGATGCGTTGACCAGAGTAAGTGTGAAGGCTTTGCAACGACTATGTGCCAGACAGCAGCCAGCAGCGTCAACATCTGAAGTATTTGGATATCGAGGCGCGATACTGACTGTTGGTATAGATGGTGCGACTTGCATGCGAGCCAGTGAAACAGCTGGAGGTTGTTGTGGCTGTAGTACAAAGGCGCTGGGAGTGTTGGTTGTACGAACAGTTTGAGTTGCATGTAAGCCATTGGAAGAGCGCTGTGGCTGTGGTTGCGGTGGTCGCGGAAGTGAGGTAGTGAAGGCTTTGACCAAGTATGAAGCTGTGTTGCATTCTTCCACAGCTCATTTGATGTGCTTTCGCTGCTGGTACGGGTTTGGAAGTCTGCTATTTCGAGACGACATGGTCGCTGAGAAGCATTGAGTGTTCAAACACAGGCCATGGCTGGAGACGACAACGCCTGTGAGGAGGAGCTTTCCCGGAAGGTTTGTAGCCTCGGGAGTTGACATGGTGGATGGCGAAGGCTGAGAAAGGTGGTTCAGCTGCTGCTGAAGGGTACAACAGCTTCGCGGATAGGCCTGCTGATTGCGTATCCTGAATGTCTCCGCCAAACCGGAAGAAGTGAGGTACGAACTGAGACGAGCTGCGCTCTCGGATGTATGGTAGATGGTGAGTAAGAATAGCCCCCGTTTGCACCACTCCCTTTCATCCTTGGGAGTGGCCCCAGGCCTAACCGCGGGGAGGTGGGAGACAAGGCCCATAAGAATGACAATTGTAAGAGATGTAAGGGATACAGAAAGAAGATGTTACATGTTATAAAAGGGAAATGGTAAAAGATATAAGGGATACAAAAGATAGGTGATACATGCGATGAAGGGAAAATATACTCAGGACGGATTGCGCTTTCGGAGGGTCGATGGGCCAGCGGCCCCAAGCCCGGATGCCGAGACAAAGCCCATGGCTTTCGCCTCTTCCAACTCTTTTTGAAGATCAGAGATCTTCTTCTCCTCGGCCCGCAGCACCACCTCCTCCCCCAACCTCCTCTGCGCCACCCTCAACCTCCGCCCCTCCTCCGTCTTTGCCAACTTGGCATTGGCCGCCTCGAGGTCCTCTATCAAGGCCTTTTTCTCGGCCCTCTTCCACGGCCAGCTCCAGCCGAACCGCCAGACACACACTGTGACTAAAAGGCACAGGCAGAAGAAGATGCTATCACTAGCAAGGTTGACCCATATCCCGGACTATTGTGGCCCCGAACCACAATCGCGAGCACAATCGCAAACAGACATCTTTAATGGGAACTAGCTATAACAACCTTGTACAAATTAGCATTTTGAAGCAGCATCAACGTTTTGATGTAGTGTATCTTGCTTGATAGGGCATGGGTAGTGAAGGGAGAGAAACGTTGACATACCTTTGTTCCGTCGCCTTTAGCTGAAGAAAAGAAGAGAGAACACCACGGGCAGAAATCAATATATCACATCTCTAGAGTTGGCAGCCACTGCTGAGCAGCTGCTACGTTACTTACTTGCAATTGAGTGACTATGACAACAGGCAGTAAGGCCTTCTACTCGCATGTTCAACGTGGAAGTAGTTGCCCTGCATATCTATTATACCTTCGATTGTTCCTGTAGCTGTCCCGGTAGTTGCCTCACTATTGTTTATCACTGACACATGCACTCCCACACTGACAAGTACATTCCGCAAGCAAGCAGGACAGGCTGCGACAATAAGCCACAAAGAGAACTATCAACATCACCAATGTAGATGTAGTTACCCTGCACGTCTATCAGATCCACAAATGCTCTCGTGGATATCTTAGTAGTTGCCATGCCAGCGTCTACGTCTACCTACCGACGGCTAATGCGAATGCGATGTGAACTTGCGTAATTAATCATCTACGAGTACCATCTATGTCTATCCCCCAATCAAAGGCCTAAAGAACTCCACAAATCGAAACAAGCTTACAAAAGCGTATCACCAAGCGCGCAACGAACAATCGAAACACCCGCGCGGACCGTGTCTCCAGCACCCTCAGCGTCAAGACTGGGGTTGACCTCGACGAGATCCAACGCGATGAGCTGACCAGTCTCGGCAACACACTCGGCGATGAAGTCACCCTCGCGGAGAGTCAGACCGCCGCGGACAGGAGTACCGGTGCTAGGCGCCCACATGGGGTCGAGAGCGTCGACGTCAAACGAGAGATGAATGGGCGTGTCGCTACCAATCCAACCCAACGCCATATCCATGACTTTGCCGATACCGTGCCTATCGATGTCGTGCATGGAAAAGGCCTTGATGCCATGGTCCCTCAGAATCTTCTTCTCTCCCCGATCAATATCCCGAAGACCTGCAAGGTGTCAGTCTCCCATCTCACATGAACTCCATACCAGGGACGAGGAACTCACCAATGTAAACCAGTTTCTTCGTGCTCAGCCTGTGCTCCTCCTTAATCCAGCCAAACACATCTTCCCGCTCCTCCGTCGCCAGTCCCGTCAAGAACGACACGGGCATACCATGAATGTTGCCTGAATCGCTCGTCTCAGGCGTGTTAATATCGGCATGTGCGTCGACCCAAATAACCGCAATATCCTTGCCCAGTCTCTCCCTCACAGCCTTGGCGGTACCAGAAACGGTGCCAATGGCAATCGAGTGGTCACCACCGAGCGTCAGCACCAATTTTCCCGACGAGGCGTGAGCGTAGACTTGATCGCTGACTTGCTTTGTGACTGCCGAGGCGAACTTTGGTCGCTTCATACCGCGGTAGTCTGGGTCGTCTGAGGGTTGCAGCTCCGTGTAGTTGTGCACTTGGCCGTCGTAGGTGACTTTGAATTCCAGGTCTTCTTCCAGTTGCTTGATGAGGCCGTTTTCAATGAGGGCCATGGGGGCGGCGTCCACGCCGGCTTTGGGCTGGTGGAATGCATTGTTGGTTGTTTGGTCTAGGTAAGATGGGTGCGGTGGGAAGGCTGGCTTACCTGGCCGCCGCTGAAGCCGACTGCGACGATGCCTAGGTCATGCCTGTTTGGCAGGAACTTGGGCTGTATTGTGGGCGCGGAAGTCATTGTGCTGTAAATGGCGTTAGTATTATTATTCGCAAGCGGGTTTGTTGCATGAGGTGGTGCAGAGAAAGGGCTTTGTTTGTGCGTCGTTGGTCGCAGAAGTGCGACTTCCAGATAACCAACCACCAAATGGCGAACCACGTCATAAAAAGCAACTGCTGTCATCTCTTACCTTTTGTGATTAACCTCTATAGCGATTGTCAAAGTAACAGGCTTAGCTAGCAGTGCAGAAAAGGTGCTTATATCGCAATGCGTACAATATACACGCTCAACTCAATTCGGTCGGGTATCGAATCGAGGAAAAATTATGGAAATACAAAACTACAGAATGGGTGCAGGCGGTCTGGCTTTTATCTCTGGAGCGCGCAAGCTCTTAGGTAATTGTGTGTCGCTGAATTTTCGTTCCATCGTGTACACCTGTACTTAAGGGAAACATCGATGAGGCTCTCGTCAAATTTATCACTTAGGGGAAGTAGTCTTTATCTTAGGGGACTGGTACCGTAAGAAAGCCCCCACTACCGCAACTTGCCGCCATGTCGCTTTAGGTAGGTCGGACGGGGTCATCGGTAGCAACGTGGCATTTTCGGATTCCCTAGAACTGGAGAAATGCTTCCGTGTCTGGAGACTGTGAGTAGGTATGCAGTGTGTGTTCTGTTCTCGCAGGTGTTACAGTTGGCAGGTGTTTGGGCAAGCCACTCGGGGGCGCGATTGGTCGGCTGCAATCGGCTTTGGGCAGCACGTTCAGCCGCGTCACCTACCTAGACGCGAAGCCAGCTGACCATTCTTACACACCCGCCATCGCAGTCACATGCGCTCCATCTCGTCTTAATCCCGACGCCGTCCATGTCCGTTCCCGCGATCCGTTTCGCGGCTAAAAAGTCCGCGAGGGACTGCACAGGCACTGTCCAGTTGCTGTGTCATGTCAAGCCTGGGGTCAGTGCAGGGCGCGAGGGCATCGCAGCGGTATCAGATGAGCGCATCGACATATGCGTTGCGGCTCAACCAAAAGACGGCGAGGCAAACAAGGCAGTGAGGGAAGTTATTGCTGATGCGCTTCGAGTCCCAAAGTCCGACGTTGAAGTCGTAAAGGGGATGAAGAGCAGGGACAAGACCGTGGCTGTTCAGGTGAGCGTCAAAGGCACGACTGAGCAAGAAGTCAATCGCATCAGAGCGGTGTTGGAGAGCACGATATGAGCAAACGACGAGTTTACCAAAGCATTACTATTATATTAAAGTCATTAAGGAGCGTCGTATATACACCATAAACATATCCGTCCATCGCATGATTGTTCATTATCCCATCCCATTACATCAAATAGACATTACCAACTCGTCTTCACCATAACCAGTGTTGACGATGAGTCTAGTACTGCCACGCACCAGGCTGGTCAACCGCAACGGTAAGTGCGCTGAAGCCCAAGCAGTCGTCACCAAATGTGGCACCCGAGGCAACCTGGCCAAAGACCTGGTATCCGTCCGCTGTGACATTGGCAGCCGGGCAAGCAACAAAGCCAGTGTCAAAGTTGAGGTACCCGAACGCATTGCCGTTTGCGGGAGCAGTCCGGCTGAAGCCTGTTTGTTCGCTGCCCGCGGGGATGGCCGCGCTGTGTGCAGTGGTGTAGCTCAGCGCACCGTCAGGCGCAACATAGACCTGCTGGCCACCGGGGACCACGACACCGAGAGAGAGGGTCTGGTCGCCGCCAGCGAGGACAGTGGTGTTGCCCGGTGGGCAGTTGGCCGCGCCGACCGACTCGACCGGGCAGTAGGAGCTGGGTGGTCCGCCGCCGAGGTAGAACTTGTTGCCGCGTGCGGTGAGGGGGAGAAGGTGGATGGGCGAGGCAGAGCGTGACGAGATGACGCCAAAGTAGCCGTTGTCGTTGGCGGGTGGGGTGGGTGTCGCAGAGGGTTGGCCGACGGTGACGGTCGTCGTGTGCTCGGGCTTGGGGCAGGCAGAGGACTTGTGCTCCCATGCCATGGCGCTGGCAGCGAGGGCGGAGAGGGCGACTGTGTACTTCATCTTGGTGGTTGTTTGGGGGAGCAGAGTTGAGGAACCGAGTGTTTTGGTTGAAAAGGGAGGTTTTTTAGTAGTAGTAGTAGTAATTGCTTTTGGGAGTTTGCTGAGAGTGATGTCCCTTTGTGAGCGCCGTTCGCAGACTCCTTTATACAACACGGATGGTGAGGGGTTTGTTCTGCCCGTCTTCCAAATTCCTACTAATCTGCTAAGTAAAGTAACACGACTATTTTTCCCCACCGTCATTCCTCGTATGCAAGCTGCAGATGCAGCGCTGCACAGTCCCTGCAGTTCCGTTAACCATACCTTTCGCAGTAATGTCCCGCCCGTTTAAAGCCCGCCCTAAGCATGTTTCAGGCGATGATCAACCCAATCAATATCGCTGGAAACAGTGACGCGAGAGGGACCGGACTAGCCGGCAGCGTTGCATCAACACGCATTCGAGCGATTGAAAGCTTGTCCGACAAGGGAACGTCATATTCTGACCCTGACGTACCGTTACCGTATTCCGTAGCATATGCATCTTCTCGTTGTCGGTCGTGACCTCGTGTCTCAATGTCAGAGGATGCAAGGTTGGGGGAGTTATGGCTGGTTGTGTGACTGAATACGGTCGTTCCATGTCGGGTGCAGGCTTCCCCTCCATCAGCCACTTGCATCTTGCTTGCTTAAGCGATAACGGGCGGCGGTATGCACAAGTTGAGGCGGTGGCATTGGAATAACTCCGCACTCCGGTACCGATAGTCATAGCACTTGTTTGCTTGCGCGTTTGGTGAAGACGAACTGAATAGCTGCTTCTACCATCGTATTCGCACCACACACGTGATGCACGACGGAGCCTCTCCGCGTGGCGGTGGCTACAGTCTACCTAGGTATACGACACCGATGAACAAGTACCATGGTACCAACATCGTGGCGCAGTACCACGAAAGTACCTAGTTCACACGGCGAACGCTCATCACAGCAGGAGGACCTCCGCCAGCCTCGTTTTGCCGTAGGATTGCACGATCCCCGCTGTTGGTGCCACTCCCGCTACCTTAGTGCTCCTACACTACCGTCCCCATCGCCGCATCCGGAGATACGAGATCCACCAAATCTCGTATTGCCTCCAGCAGCTTCCTTTGGGGTAAACGTTAGTCGATACGACCGGTTATTTAGGAGTCGCATGAACAGAAGGCGCGAAAAGGGAAAGCGGTAGGTAGGGTTACGTTCCAGTAGCAGCTTGATGATGGCTTTGTGTTACAATGACGGAGCGTTATTAAGCTTATAGCTTCTCCGGAGAATTTAGGTCGAGTCGCAGTACCTGACATATGGAGATGGTACCTGACATTTCTCACAGCAGCGAACAGAAGACTGCTCATGGCAGGCACGCGGCTACCGTACTTTGAGTTTTGCATGGGCCGATCCTCCGCCCCCGGTCGATACTATGGAGATACTGCTCAATTCGGCCGAAAAAAATAGCACCGCAGTACAAATACCACGGTATTCCAAAAACAATAGATCGAATACATGCATGTATCGCACAAAATCGATATTCCGATGATGCAATAATTCACTAAGCTATTACGACTCACGCATGAGAGGCATTTACTCGGAGTACGTTCGCAGACCGTAGCGTCGGACGAGAACAGAGAGTGGAGTAACACAACTAATGTGGAGACGACCCAAGAAAATAGGCAGCGTGTAACTAGGAAAGATCTTGTGGACGTCAAGTAATGGAATGGGCACATCCGGACGTTCCAGCAAAAGACGCCAAAGCCGTCACAACCATTCCGCAGATCAAAGTACGACTCTAATGATCAGAGAACAGAAGCACCTAGGCAGTCTGAGCTAAGGGTCTTTACTTTTCTTCGCAACGAAACACAGCTTACATGGACATTTCCAAGCATCGAAGAATTCTAGTAAGCACGCAATAGGAAACACTGCGGGAGACTTGTAAGCTCACTGCGACGAGGAAGATCAAGCAACGAAGAAGAACACGATCATGAGCCATTGCACGACTTATCACCACGAACCTGAAGTTAACATACTCTCTTATCTGTATGGAGGGGTTTGGTAAAACGTGGTGACGATAGTGGAGCTGCAGGTGCATTATTTGCATTCACCATTCCTAAGGCAATCAAGTATGAAGATGACTACTTGAGACAACGATCCTAGACGCGCGGCCTGGCAAGTTACCTTTAACCCAACATTCAGAAGAGCAGCCCAAGTACCCCAGCCGAAACTACCGTGATAGAACTATCATGGCTCAAGCGTAAAGAATAAAAGGAGATGCAACGAGACGAGCAAGTGCAACTACAAAGACCTCTAGGGTATCAAAAACGACGAAACATGAACCCAAAAATAACCAGCATTCACTCTTGTAAATCAAAATGCAAGTCTCGTCTTCCCCTTCTGTTCCCTTTTTTCGCATTTCTACTCCTCTCCGTCTTCCTTCACATCCACAGACACAGCTTTCCGCTCGCAGTACCAGCAGCCACCCAATCAACAGTAGGGTGAAACTTTGCAACAGCCGGCACCGCTGTGATACCCTCGCCCCCCAGCTGAGCCAACTGCTGTCCTTTCGCCGTGTAAATATCAACGAAACGGTTCATATTGCCAATGCAGAAGCGCTGGACGTTGTCTTGAGGCGACTGCTGCCACTGGGCTCGTAATCTAACAGTTCTTGTTAGCAAAAAAAAGTACTTTTCAAAGGGTAGCCGGGCAACTTACATGGTAACCCATCGTCCAGTCTGGTTATTATGCGGTACAACAACACTCGGTTCCATCTCCTCCTCCCCCATCTCCACCCCGACCTTCCAGTCTGCACAGTTACCAAAATCATGGATCTTAATCGTATCGTCATAAGAAGCGGTAGCTACCTGCCCCGCAGAATTCCACGCAGCATGCGACACGGACAACTTGCTCGTATGCTCTCCGACGAGTGCGGGCGACCGATTCTCCCCTTTACCACTAATCTTCCTCAGGTCCCAGATCTTGAGCGTGCGGTCTAGAGACGCCGTGGCAACGAGGTGAGGGTGCAGGGGGTGCAGCGTGAACCCTCCAATCTTCTTGTCGCTCAATTGGAAGATTTGCAAGCCCGCTGCCTTTTCCTTGGGCGTGCGCATATCGTATATGCCAAATTGGCCGTCTAGTGTGGAAAAGTAGAGCGTGTTTGCATCGTCTTTTGATATTTCGAGTCCAGACAAGGGCGCCTCTTCGTCCTTGTCAGACGGCGCGTATACTTCCACCGCCACACCCTTGGCAAGGTCTAGTTTCCGCACACTGGAATCGTACGAGGCCGTGTAAAGCGCATTCGCATCGTGGGGACTGAATTGGAAGGTGTGAATGGTTCTTGTGTGTGGTTTCAACGTGGTGATGGTGGGACCCTCCCTCTCCGCATCTTCGTCATCTTCCACTTTGACTTCTGCCACCTTCTGGCTCGCATCACAGATACCTAGGTTGCCTAGCTTGTCGCCAGCAAAGACTAGGGGCTTGTCTGTTGTAGGGTGGAGACCCATGGAGTATATACGCTCCGGTGTAATCTTTATCTCATTCGGCTCAAAGTCTTCCCATAGTGTCAGACCACTCATGCGTTCTCTGAGGGCACGCAGTTCCTTATCCGTAGTCTCCTTCACGTCATTGTAGTCGAATGTCCGCGCATATGGATCCGCAGGGCCGACTGAAAGGAAGTTTCCACTCTTATCCCAGTCCTTGCCTGCGACGACTATGTCGCTGAAATTGAACGCATCACTAACGCGTTGTCGCTTTGCACGATCCGCGGCTTGCAATGCGACATATTCATCCTCTGCTTTCCGCTTTGCGACCTCACTGTCTGCCACTATGCCTTTTAATCGGGAAGATGTTCTACGGGGCGCAACTTCTTCTTGCTTGATCTTCTTCGGCGCGGGTTTCTTCACTTTTGGTCTTGAAGGTACAGAGGTTTTGGCTTTGCCGGTAGGACCTAGGCCTGCTTCCGCTGCCTCCATCTCTAGGTTGCGCAGCAGCGCCTGCGTCTTTGCGATATTCTCCTGCCGTTTCCGCTCATACTCGCTGATCTCGACATTCTTTCCACGCACCATTGTAAATCGTATACAATTCTTGTTTGGACAAAGGCAAGGGGTTGCTTTCCAACCTGTGGCGAAACGATCGACCGAGAGGTGCGGTAGAACGCGTGAGGCGCGATGCGCGTGCGATTCGTGGGGTCGCGAGAATCGCGTTTTCGGTCGTTGGATGTCGCCTCCAAGATTTGCGGGGTAACCGATGGGTTCCTGAAGATCGGATGGCGAAGGCTGTACGCAATGTCAGGGGATTTGTGGACTGTCAGGCAGATGCTAGATGGGATTTCTAGGTGTTGCCACTAGCGTACGCGGGCAGACGCGCTCGACGCGTGTGTCACGTGTTGACGTGTAAATCGAGAACTTGCCCTGTAAGAAGCCACACAGCTCGCTAATCTCCTAGGTCCAGGAACAGTAACTAATTTCCACGTGGAGCAATATCTTTGCCGTCGAGGTCTATCCCTACACACGTCCCGATGCAGATCGATGTTGAAACTCGACGTTGTAATTGATCGACTACCGACGTCAGAGAGGTTAGCGTGGAGATCTGATCGATTTCAGTCTTGGCAGATTTGCGGAGAAGAGAGCACTCGTTCGCATCGGATGATCCGAACAACTTCAATTGCACCTCAAACATGCCACCCGCACGACTAGCCAACGGGCTGCTCGGGACTTTCCGAACAGCCTCACTTCGAACAACATGTGTTCGTCCAGCAGCCACCTCAACACAGCAGTGCCTATACCATTCGTATGACTACGCTCAACCGCCGCCGTTTCCTCCCGCCGAATCTGCGATACTTTCTTCCGCATACGCGCACGTACCAAATCATGGGTTTACTATAGATGCGCTCAAGCTCGGTGCAAGAGATGCGGGATATCTCGATGTTTCTACCAATTTGCTCCCCAGAGGTGTTTTTGATTTGATCAATTACCATCTCGTCACTCAGCGGCTGGCTCTACAAAACAATGTTCAGTTCCCAGAACAAGGAGAGCAAGGAAAGAAAATGGGCGTCGGCGCCAAAGTCAGGACCTTGACGTTGGCGCGACTGCGAGCAAATGAACCCGTCATACATCGATGGCAGGAGGTAGGAGGATGGGTAGAAGAGAATCAAGGTCAGCCAGCTGATACTTGATAGGCACTTGCAATTATGGCCCAACCTACATACGTCCCGGCATCCTTGGCCGAACTTGCAAGACTCGCGGACGAGGTCTGGTTCCTGTCTGGCGACCAGAGCGTGGATAGCAGCTGGTACACCAAGCGCGCGACCCTCTCTGCCATCTACTCTTCGACTGAGATGTACATGACGCAGGACAAGTCGGCCAACTTTGTCGAGACGGAACAGTTTCTAGACAATAGACTACAAGATCTCACCAAGGTTGGTGGGTTCATGGGTGGACTGGGCGAATGGCTCAATTACACGGGTCACTCTGCCGTCAACGTACTAAGGAGTAAGGGTGCGCGCATCTGATTTTGTAAATGCAATCGACGGGTGTTTGACCCGTGTGCTCGGCGCGCTTCACCGAGCCTACTTTTTATATCATATATTTCGGTGCGCTTCACCGAGCCTCCTTTCTATGTTATATGTTTCTACTTTTTTTTTTTCCCTCGCTACACTAGCGACGACGTCATTGCACAATCGATCTCGATGAGATGTCAGATGTTGCAATTACTGTACGAACATGTCCTCCAACTTTCCCATATCTTCCAAAACCGTCGAACTATGGGGACACTAAGTCTGTAACTAGTGTCGGTGATGCTGTGGTGCACCTGATAGACTTACGAAACGATATTTGGGTTTCAAAATGGTGATTTGACCGGACGGTGTTTCCGGAGCGGCCCTGCCTTGGGGTTACTGTAACAAGTAATCTGCGATCCGAGCTCAATCGGTGATCTTAGATAGAAAGTGGCATCACCCCACCCGTGAGAGCAGAAAAATATTCGCGGCGCACTCTGGGATACGGGCAGCAGTCATGGTCAGTAGCTCGGTCAAGACGGCAAACGGCTGGGGATCCAGACGTATCCAGGCAGGACGAGACCCGTTTGCAACGTATGCGTGAGAGGGAAGGATTGGCGCAGCGGTGCAGCTGGACCCTTGATTTGTGACCAGCCGCTCGATGGGCGATGCCGACAGCGATTGAGCAGGCGCATTCGATTGAAGTGCAGTAGCAGAGACGCCAATCAAACACGCGAGGCTCAGGAAGCCGAACAACCAAGGTCAGATCAGGGTCCAGGGAATCGATGTGCGCGTCCCAGCCGTTGCAAAAGTGACCTCATTTTTGGAGGGGATAGGCGGAGCTAGTTGTGTGCAATCTCGATGGAGGCAGGGCATTTTGTGCTGTTGTGTTCAGAGTGCCAGATGCGGGTCTAGTACCCGTCGCATGGACGCGCAGTGCAGTTGCTTGACGGGGCAATGTATACAGGTGTCAGCATCAAGCCACGGCCATCAGCGATTGGGAGATGAATCAGCGATGTCGAGGGGCATCGAGGCATCGAGAGCTGGCAAAGGGTCTCAGTTGGCAGTTTCTGGGTTAGGAGAGTCGATGCAATCGGCGATTGCGCGGGCGGTAGTCGCTTGCTTCTAGCCCCGGGAGCGCCACATGCTGCCTCTCTCCCAGGTACACTCGATCCCCATGCAGTTTCTTGGCATCGTGGAAATCGAGAGCATCGAAACGGGCGTCCACATGAAGATGTATGCCCATCATGGCCTCGAACTCACTAACCTACAATCTCCCCAGCCAACTTTGCTATTCGACAGCCCCGCCCAGCACTCGAGCAGCATTCACACTCACCACCTAGCGCACATGGAGAACATCCTCCCCGAGTAGACCCGCCCAACCTTTGCACCGCAGCCATGATGAACGAGCGTCCAGGAACCATTCCTGCCGCTGCGCGATCCCATCCACGCCGCCCACCAGCCCACCAGTCCGTCTCCCTCCGCCACAGCCCGCCCGCCTCGTCCAAGCGGAAAGCCAAAGCCTCGACCACAACACAGAGCTCGCCAAACCTCGCCAGCGACAAGGCCAATCCGCCGTCAAGCGTCTCGCCACAACTGCTCTCCAACAAGACCAGTTCCGGTGAGAGCAGCGACGCCGGCCAGTGGTTCGAGAAGACCAACAACACAGCCAGCCACGGCAAGTCGTCGTTTGTCGACAGTGAGTCTTGAGCCACCCACCTCGCTGCCGAGCGATGCCTAACTGTGAGGTCTAGATGAACCGCCTTTCTTCCTCCAGAACTCGTCCTCGTCAGAGACACCGCCCGAAAACTCGCAGTATGCCCACGCACACCCCGCCATCCCATACCGCCCCGGCCTTGGCCAGATGGGCACCGACGGCAGCAGCACCGAGGACTTCCGAAGCGTCATCGACGACTTGACCGTTGCCAACAAGAAGCTCAAGCAGAAACTGCGCAAGTACGAGAAGCTCTACGATGCCCACCTGCAAGAAGAGAAGCTGTTCGAGGTGAGGTTCCACGGTCTGCCAGACCACAAGAAGAAGGAACTCGAGGAGACTCTACGCAAGTTCGCTTCCGAGCTCGACGAAGGCACCGCCAACGAGTACGCCGACATCTCTGCCTACACCCCGGCCCTCCAAACACACAACACGGCTTCTTCGACTTCCCGCTTCGCCGAGTCGGGCTATGCCTCCCTCTCCGCCTCTGGCCACAACTCGTCCGCAACCAACCAAGACTCCGACCGCCGCAAGATGACCAAGTCCGCATACAGCCGCCAACAGCAAACCATCCAGTCGTACCTTCACGACATCCCCATGGGCTTGCTACCAAACACCAAGAGCGTTCCAATGACAGACAAGTCCAAGAAGAAGATGGTCGTACGTCGTTTGGAGCAAATCTTCGCTGGCAAGCGATCCGCAGCCGGCTCTCACCCCCAGCAGATGCAGCAGCAGGAGGTAGCTCAGTCGGCAGCTACCGCGGACCGTGAGCAGCGCGAAGCAACTGGACAAAACTTCAAGCCCGAGGGCCAGCGCGAAGCACGTATCAGGAACGACAAAAGTGCCGATGCTGCTGCCGAGGACAACGATACGCCCCAGGACGAGGTTATCCACGGATTCCGCCCCAGTCTACATATCGAGGAACACGACTTTGCCGGCTCCGGTTCATCTCCCGATCAACGACCCACGCGACCACTCGACTTGGATCCTTACCGTGCTCAGGTGCCTGCCGAGAACATGAACTACATCCGCCATCTTGGATTCTCCCCACCAGACATGAATTCCGGAGATGCACCTCTCGGCCACGGGTGGATATACCTCAACCTGCTTATCAACATGGCGCAACTGCACACGCTCAACGTCACCCCCGAGTTTGTCAAGGATGCCTTGCACGAGTACAGCAGCCATCTCGAAATGTCTCGCGATGGACGCAAGATTCGATGGAAGGGCGGTCTCGACGTCACCAAGCACAGCAGTGGCAGCTCGTCCGAGCATTGGAGCGGTGCCTCACCAAACGACACAGGCTCCCTTTCGCCGTTCAAGCGAATGAAGACGGGCACCAGCGGCACCAGCAGCGACATGCTCGACGAATCCGAAAAAGCAAAAAGACAGGCTCGGGTGCAGCGCGAGAAGGAGCAGAACAAGTTCGCCTACAAGCCTCTCTTCTTCCACAAGGACGAATCGGAGAACGAGGACGACTATTACGCTTTCGATGCGGAATCTTCAGCCAATTATTCTTATCAGCCACATCCTGCTGGAAACTCTTCTGGCTTTAGTAGTTCGATTATGCAGAGCTCGAGTCCAAAGCCGAGGAGACGCGACGACGGACCTATGATCTTTTACACCAAGGCCAAGTTTTGCACGGATCTGAGTGGAGACCGTAACGGTGCTTTCCTCACTATGCCTGGTAATTACCAACCCATCACAACCCAGCCTCTTGGCGCCAAACAGACCACGTCCCCACAGACCAAGACATCCATGGATCTATCTGAGCCCCGAGGCCCTCTGGACGCTACGCCCATGGACGTTGATTCCGTGGCTGGTTCACGCACCGTTTCAAGTGGCGACGACCTAGGCTTTTCGCCTGAGGCTTTGAGGGACGACAGCGGGAACACTTCCCCTGAACTCATGGATTTCGAAGCCTCTGGTCTGGGCGGCGTACAACCAGAAGATAATTTTTCTATCCATGTGAGAAGATCACAAGTTCCTACCGCGCCATCGCATGGCGCTGCAAGGAGGATGTCACACTTGTACCCCAAGGCCATCCAAGATGCACTCAACTCCCGCCTACAATCTGAATCCCCCGAAGTCGAATCCCCGCGATCGAGCCCGCACAGGGTAATTGAAGAAAAGATTCTTTCGGCATCTCGCAAAAACCTGCCTTCGTCCACACTCCCACCTGCATCGTTCCTGCCCCTCGATTCCTGCTCCTCTGGCGACGTAGACAGCGATTTTGCATCCGATGCGTCTTCGGAGCCCGACAGCGACAGCGATTCTGGGGGGCCCGCGACGGCTATGCAGATTTTGAACATTGCGCCCATTGCTTCTGATGTATCAGAGGGCAGCGAATCAGACTACGAAGACAGTGATGACGGGTCCGTTGACTTGTTGGCGACGGCGAGAAAGCAGGATCCTACGGCCGTCAGGGCGAGCGAGCGAGAGTACGACGCTGCACTTGCGGATCGCCTTGCTGAGGAGATTCAGGCGGGCAGTAGCGCGGCGACGGCGGGTGGTGGAAGTGGATTCAACTCTCCTGTGACGGGCGTCCGCGAGGCGGCCAGACTTGCAAAGAAGGCGAGTATGGCGGGTAGTAGCGCGGCGAGCCAAAGCAGCATGGGTGCTACTGGAACGGGAGGACAAGGACAACATCATAATCCTCAGGGCAATTTGAAGAGGGCGAGGACGAGCGATGGGTTTAATAATCAGCAGCCGCCCAAGAAGAGTCCCAAGACGAGGAGAATGGGGGAGTGAAGAAGAGAAGGAAAGAAACAGGGAAATAAAGATTTTGAGCGTTCACGTTTGGGAGAGAAAAAAATCCCACATATGAGATGAAAAGGAGTTTGGATTGGGCGGTCACACAAGGGTCGCTTTTTTCACATCTGGGTCTTTATTCTCCATAGTTGTGGATGATTTCGCCATTTTGATACCCCCTTTTCGTTTTGGTTTTTTTCAAAGTAGGTTATAGCTTTTCTTTACGACATATTTTTGTTTGACTATATATATGTATATATTTACAGAACAGAGTATTAATAGTACTTATCAATGACAAGTGTCTACACAATATGAGGTTTAGTTCGACAACACCCGACATCTCCACGAGCGTGCAATCATCTCGAATGCAAGCGTGCGCTTTACAAAAGCTCACATCGGCGACGGTATCCCGGAGACAATGCTGCTGAGAGCATGCGTGCACAGAGCAGTATTTCGCTGGCGTAGACTTGGTTGGTGTCACAATGTTTGAACAGAGTCGGGTGCGGCAAGTATCTGAGTAGGTACATGTTAGATGATGCAGCTTCAGAGGTAGTGCAAGTGACCTACGGAAAGCACACGTTCGAATGCCCTCGACTCGAAGCTTAACGCGGTTGCGGATCAGGCAAACGTGATCGCAGCAGAATCTGGACCTCGGTTCCGCCCACTTGTCGCATGGGTTGTTGTTGTGAGTATTGCCTTTGCACCTCTTGAAGTACCCACGAAAATGCATCTTTGTGGTTGCGTGACCGTGAGATTGAATTTGGAACGGTGTTGGTTTGATGTTGTTTGAAAGGTAGCAACGTCAAGGTATTATACCTTGACACTGCAGTCCATACATAAGTCATAGCATAGTTACCATGTACCATCGTCCTGTTCTTTACTACCAGGCACAAGCTGGAGCCGTCTTTCAAAACCATTCTACTGGTTGATCTGATCAACGGGTAGTTGTAACAACGCAGTATGTACCATGACACGTCCTGAGCGCTGCGTTAACAAGGGATTTAGCCCCCCGGCCCACCTTCAAAAACGTCTAATTGGAGCTTGAGATATGGAAGTACGTCCACACCCTGGCCACCGCCAAGATATGACAGAAATGGCCAAGTCATGGCACCCGTATGGATGAGTCTGCACCTGCGGCGTTTCAAAAAGCCTGTCATTGGAGCATGGAACACTGACCTAGCCTTCTCTCCAATTTTAGGTAGATCGGACCCCCGCATCGGAAGGTCCAATGGCGAGGCGAGTAGCGAGCTTTGAAAACGTTACGATTGGCTCGCATCCCGCATTCTCTGGTAAGCAGCATCGATGCTAAGCTCCTTTAGTACTGATCTCAGCAAATCACACAGTCAACTATCTGGTTGGCGCAGAGCCAAGTCCCAAACGAGCTTAGCGTTGATGTTGTTTAGCAGATGCGGTATTGCATGTCGACATGTAGCAATCTCAGTACCTACCCTCACGCAGGATACGACATTTACGCACCATCCTGCTTGGACATTCCCCTCTCGACATTGTACTCACCCCAGCAAGTTCTTACTCGCCTCATGCCGCCTCCCATTACTTTCGATTCGTCTGAGAAAGTTCGAATACTTCTTCGTTATGCATTATGCTGGGGTCTGCATATCGACCACCCAGACTTTGCAAAGAAGCTTGCCGAGCACGGAATCAAGACTGCTAGGAAAGGTGGAGATGGCCACGTTGCGTATGTATCATGAGACTAGCTCAAGACAATAGTCAATCATGAGCACGTGCTAACCTAATCCTTAGGTATGGAACTATCAGATCTGCCTTGACATGGTATCTTGGGAAGGACTACTCAAAGCTTCTACCCGCATACACCATCGGAAAGGGCGAAAGCACCCTTTTCGAGGTTCGCATGAGAGTCCTCAAACACGACTCGAGGGACTTGGAAGCTGCACTCATGAACATGAACATTAGCGATCCGGCACGAGTCGATATTTTTAAGCCTGACAGTTGCTTGAACATGTCAGCCGTTCATCCGTTGGACGGAGATGCGCGCATTGAGGATGACCTACTGACCCACATGAACGGGACTTTAGAGCAGATTCGACAGGATCACCAACGGGAACAGGAACAGGCAAGAATCGTAGAGTCTCAACAAGAGGAGGCGAAGATCAAATCAACGTGGACAAAGAGGACTAGGCGGGAGTACGCGAGCGAAGGCTCGGAGCGTGCAAAGCCAAGACAACATTATCGGCAGAATCAAGAAAAGATCGAGGCCAGCTTGCAAGAGGCGTTAAACAAACGGAATACTTTGTTAGAGGGCTATAGGATGAGGCGTAATATGAACCCAATCAGCTCTCACGAACCGCGATTGAACGGAACGCCGCCCAAGGCCTCACCTTTGACGGTCAAAGTCGAAGAAAAGAACCCTGGAATACAGAAACAGCGTCATAGCAGCAGGGAAAGTGTAAGGCGGAGGGAGCAAAGCATCAAGGCTCTCAGTGTATGTGTGTACGACAATGCGGCCCTTGGTGATCGACTCCCAACAATAACAGATGCATCCTCTTTGATGCTCAGTAAACTACTCCGACAACGGAATCCCATTCCTTCGGGCGACCTGCGTCAAACGATTTTGTTGCCAGACAAGGTACGAGGTAGTCTGTCAGGAGACAAGTTAGGAAACACGCCTCTCCATTACTATGCCGGTCATTGGCTTTTCTTTGCTATGCTTGAAATCTACACCGGGATCAGCCCTTGGAAGGAAGAACGCGGAGACATCCCAAAGCTGAACAATGCGAATCAGTCCTGGCTCTTCACTATGAACCCGGAACACCTGGAACATTCCACTTTGGAGTTACGTCGACTAATTGATATTTGTGGAAGTGGAACACCGTGGTTCTTTCACAGTAAGCTCGATGCATGTTCTGCCTGTGTATCCTTACACTGCGTGAAAAACGCACCTCCACTCGCACTTCAGGATTGTCACGGCCAAACTTGGCTGCACCAGTATCTGTATCATAACGAGTGGAAGCCAGAGCAGTTGAACGCCAGAACGGAGACAGGGAAGTGTCGAGCCGTCGAACTGCTGACGCTATGCAAGCACTACGGCATGGATCCCGGCGTAAAGGATAACATGGGCCGTAGCGTCCTTGACTACCTAAAGCCACACGCCCAGAGCGAGGAGAGCGAGGATGCGGAATTGGAGACAGAAGGCACGATATTCGCGATTCGAGACCTGGACACCGGTCTTGCGGAACACACCTTGGCTTCTTGGGGTATTCGCACGACTTCCCGTGTCCAGTCCTGGGCAACGTGGCTTGCTGAAGCAGATTCGACATCCGACAAGCCTTTGCGCGGCATAGAAATCGCCCTAGAGCGCGCGGAAGCTGGTGCTGGGCTGCACGATCGCGACTATTACGACACCCTTGGGGACACACTCCTGCTAGCATTCATTAACTTCGTGGATCCGCAGACCATGCCGGCACAGCATGTACAAAAGACACTACGCTGGATTCTTGTCAGAATCCCGCGGGTCGACTTGCGCAATAGAGAAGGTTTGACACCGCTGCAGCTCGCCATCCATCTTGCGCTTCCGCATGTCGTCGCCACGCTTCTACACCACATCAGCACGCACCACGGCTCTGCGGGCTCCACCAGTGCCTCTGAAGACGTGGCACTCCAAAATTCCATTCAAGTGGAAAGCTACCAGGGTGTCACTCTTCTACAATGCTTGCGAGCGACTTATTGGAATGCACGGCATTCAGTGTTTGAGGGCGCCATTTTCGTCGAGGCAGACGCCATCATATGTGCATGTCTGATCACAAATGCGCTAGCTGGGAAGATGTTCGATGAGTCTCACGAGTTTCGGCCGCTGCGGGAACGGTACGTCTTTGAAAGTAAAAAGCGGACTTGCGACGCGCAGTCATATTGAGAGGGATATATACCTACCCATCACACCGCTGGTTGGACAGTATCTTCCTTTCGGACACTGTGCATCATGCCCTTCCGCTACCGCTTCCCTGGGCAGCGCGATGCAAGAGTCTTGCATGTGTGCTGCTGCATGGAAGGGCGGCACATGAGCAAGAGATATTGCATCGGCCGTGAGTGCTGTTACCACGATATGGCATATACTCCGGTTTCGACACTGTGTGAAGTACGCCTTGCTGCGATACTGCAGAGTAGACCCGGGTCAAAAAGTCGCAATGTCTCAATTACATTCAGCCAAACAAAAGAGGTATAGCGTCCAACACCTGTAAGATATCTTTGTCGTTTTGTGAATTGCGGTGGTTACTGTAAGAGACTGCATTGCGGCCGTATGAAGGGAACGCATGGGCCTCGGTACGGGAATGTTCCAGTAAGCTTACTTGTTGTTACCTTGTTCGAGTAGACTACCAAGTCATGAATGAGGCGCTAGTCTGCCTCCGCCTGCGCCTATTGGCCAACATCTTGCCAGCGCAACTTTATACCTGTACAACGTACAATTTGTGAGGCGGGTCTGGAGGCCATATCAAACCTCAAGTAATCTTCACTCTTCGTAACTTCACGAACATGTGTAGGCGGTATATCTTCCTGGGCCATGAATCTGGGCAGTCAGTATATAACACCCGCTTGACATCATGACCTCTATCTGCCAAACAGATCTACCATCATTTTCGCACATCAAATCAGCACCGCTTACACTCCCCAAGAAACAACACATACCCTCTTTTCCAAATCAGACGTACAGCCCTACTAGTTCCTTCAGCTCTCCCCTACTAACCCCCACAGACCCATCTCACAATGCGCTTCCTTTCCCTAGCCACCCTCGCCTCCAGCGCCACTGCCTGCTTCCAAACAAGCCGGTGCTCCGCGCCCAACGGTCCCGACGTCGCCGTGCAATCAAACGGCAAAAACGACCCCGAACACAACCAAGCCAGAGTTACGGTCGCTTTCAAAGACGGGAGATATGGGCCAAACACTTTTGCAGGAATCGTTAATCATCTCCGCTGCGATGTCATTGTTAAGATTAGATCGCCGGCTGCGAATGACGCGTTGCAGTGCTGGGTCGTGCCGTACAATGAGCAGTGTAATCTTGATGTGTCAATTGCGGGGCTTTGGTACCGTCAGTCTTGTACATCCTAGGGGTTTCATGCTGGTTGCTTGACGACAGTTGTTAGTGAGAAGAGAATGGGTTTTTGGTATGCTACGGTTGTGACTGGGCCGTTAAAGACGATCATGACGGCATAGTGGAGTAGTTTCGAAGAAGGGGACAAACAAGACGTTCTATCTAGAAACCTGTGCTCTTCGGCCTGTCTTGCGCTCACACTATGAGCTGTCGTGATTGGGTTGTCATATCTTTTGCCTTCTGGAGACTTGACGTTGTAGGCTTCCTATTTATTCTGTCTTTTCGCGCCTATGATTTCTCAAGATTTGGTATTCTTCTTGTATCTCTCCCGCAGACGAGAAGCTACAAGATTGCTTCCGGTTTCGCACCAACTCGCGGTATGTGGAACTCTTACTCTACGATTCCATGAATATGACTGCTGGTAGTTAGGTAGCAACGTGGCCAAGACGAGGCACATGATGGCGCTGCGGAAGAAAGAACGTTTGGGTACGGGATGAAGTTACAGTTGCTGCATATGTGGGGATATGGAGGCTTAGCAAGGGAGAGAATGATTTGCTCTCTACACAGCCCCGCTTTTAAGCCGAAAGGGGATTAGTGACCGCCCCAAACAGCCTGCCTCAGGCTGGAACCTCAGCTTCTTCAGCCCTTCGCACGCGCTCTAGAACGTGAGATATACGTGCGGCTGATTCTTCATGTGATCTGTAGGCGTCATGGCTCCCTGCTTGTCGTTGGCTGTCTTATAGGACGTATTTCCTCCGCATTTCTGGGTCACCATGCGTTTCGATTCCGTACCACCTTACCTTACTCCTACTGCTTCTTCTACTGCCATCACACGTGCAAGTGCAAAGGCCGAAATCAAGTCGCCGTCCAAGCTTACGCAGTCCAGCGCCGGGTGTATACTTAATACAATCCGTTCCTTTTTCTCGTTTAAATCTTCGCTATCTCACTCGTAAGCTATGGGTCATTCTCAGTCCAAACACCCGGCTCATCAACCAACTTGTTCATATCCGTATGATTCTCATGCCGATTTTACCTATACGCCTCTGAACCACCCACGTCATTTCAGAATCCTACATCTGAAGCGCATTGTGTTTCAGGGCTCAGGAGATTGGAAGGATACGGTGCTAAGTGGTACCCTCGTAGAAACCTCTCTTGATAATGTGCCGGAGTATTTCGCTCTTTCCTATACTTGGGGCGACTCTACGCTCTGTGACTATATCTTGATTGATGGACGGGTGTTAAAGATCACGCGATCGTGCGCAGCTGCACTACGACGAATGCTCAAAGGCAAGCTCGAAAGAGTGATATGGGTAGATTCTATCTGTATAAACCAAGCACGTATGTACATGCATGACCTATGAATAAGTTATATCAATGACCGTACAAAGGTGATGCACAGGCGACCCAAGAAAGAAACACCCAAGTCGCTTTCATGGACGAGATTTACAACAAAGCGATACAGGTCAATGTCCATCTAGGTGAAGGAGACGAGAGAACTGAAGTAGCGGCCAAAGCGGTGAATAAGCTAGGTGCCGCTTCTTTAGCAGTACTTGGAGCGAGGAGAATCGGAGTGGGGGAGGAGAGGATGAGGAGGCAGTACGAGAAGGTTGCCGATGAAGTCCTTCGTAAGTTGTCCACACCTGACCTGATCGGAAGAACGATAGATTGAATGAGCTATCCTCAGAAATACACTAGCAGTCCCTCGTGGCTCGCTACAGTGAAGTCGCTAACGTCGATTAGAAATCTCTCAAGAATTCCCGTATGGCAAACTCCACCCTATATTGCGCTTACCCTGGTTCCGCAGAGTTTGGGTCTTCCAAGAGGTTGTTTTAGCACGGAAAGTGGTATTCTATTGTGGCGAACGTCTGTTAGCGTTCGAAAACCTGGCCTTTGCAACGAATTTCACACGTGTCCCATATTCGAAACCTGACGCACTAGCGATTCACTGGAGGTCGTATCTCGAAGGTCATAATGCGTGTATCCATCTTCTTCGGCTAAAAGAAAAGGGAGAAGACGCGAAGCTTCTCCATCAGTACCTCCTAACTATTGTAGGAAACTTGGAGGCCACGCGACCAGAGGATAAGATCCATTCGATGTACGGATATGCTAAAAGAATGAATTTGGATTGGCCAATACCGGACTACACGAAATCTGTCGCTCAAATATATACCGAGGTTACGATCGCTTGTTTCCGGCACTCGAAAGATCTCGGAGTTATAATTATGGCCATAGGTCCAGCGAGCGAAGAATTCGAGTTGCCATCTTGGGTGCCGGACTTCTCAAGGCGTTATACAGACTATAGTCCGTCAAAGCCGCCGAAAATAGACCTGGTGCCTTTCAGCAACAAACAGTGTTCAGGAGCGACTGAATGCGATTGGATTCTCATACCAGGTGGAAGACGACTCAAAGTAAAGGGAAGAAAAGTTGATTACATCACAGCTGTCAGCGAACCTTGGCAAGCCGATGCTACCACTACACTAGTCGGAGGCGCAGATTTCAACTCGGGTCAAATATATGACAGTTTCATTGAGTGTATTGGCTCCTGGTACGAAGTCGCCCTACAACGAAGCATGACCCACAACGGCGGCGCGGATTCTGCGCAACAATTCGTAGCTATCTCGGACCTTGTCTGTCTTCTCACACGTGCGTGCTTGGGTCTCACTACACTTCCTGACCAATTCGCCGAACTTATCTCTGCCCTCATCAGCTGCACCAGAAGGGATATGGTAGCCTTGCGCACGGCTTTTATCCATCCTGGTAACGATAACAACCAAATCATGATCACACCACAAATGCAACAAGCTATTGAATGTTTGGCGCCAGTGATATGGAAATTGATCTTTAGGACAACAGTGAGATCATGCATGGGCATCAGTAATTACAATGCCAAGGCTGGAGATTTGTTGGTTGTACTTTACGGCATGGCGTCACCATGTGTTATAAGGCCTTGTGCAGGAGGTTTCAACTTCATTGGTCAAGCTTTTGTGCCTGAAGTCATGAACGGGGAGTTTTGGGAAGGAGGATCAGACGAGGACGATGAGTGGTTTACCCTGATATAGAAATTATCTTGGATCTATACGAGGTCTTTCGTCTCGGCCATCCATGGCATGGAATTGGTTTGACATTGGTGTCACACTTGTGGTTGAACATTTTGGTGCTTGTCAGTCCTAGTCATAGATTTGTTGGAGCCATAATAGAAGGACAGTGAATGGAGTGAAGTTAGATTCATCGATCACCTAGTCAAATAAATAGGAGATAGTATGTTGCTTTATGCTACTAAGCTTATGAACGAGGCTAAGCGACACAATAAGGGAGATCAAAACCCTACTCTAAAACGTTAAATCAATTGGGAGAGCCCCAAAGGAGACACAGCTTATCTAGTGGCGTGATGAATGCATCTTACCCCGCACGATGCTGCGTTGAGTGTCAGCTGCTAAATTTAGAATAGATCCTGTTACGTCTTGCAGTTACTACCTAAGGCTTCTTGCCAAGGTTTTCTTAAAGGCCAGCTTTTTCTCAGCTGAACTTGTATCTATTGTTGCGCAACTCCTTATCATCTCGCTACTACACCTTCATTGCCTAAAGTCTTACTTCTTTGCAATAAGAAGACTTCGGCCAAACCTAGCCCACAACAATCTACGTTCATTGTAGCCTAAGTTTCCGATGGAGCCTGTCAGCCTTACTCTTGGTGCAGTTTCCCTGGCTAGCCTTTTCTCTCTGTGTATACAATGTTTCGATCTCATCGAAATTGGCCGGAAGACTAGCGTGGACTATGAGATTATGGTTGTGAAACTCAGTATAGAGAAGCGGCGATTGATGGTCTGGGGCGAAGCAGTGGGTATACTCAGGCCGGATCAGGACAGAGATCCTCTTCTGGACGACCTGGAAACGCGGACACTGGTCGAGAGAATACTCTCAAACGTTCAGAGACTATTCGATGAAACGCAGAATCTTAAGTCGAAGTATGGTCTGGAGAAAACATCCTCAACGCAAAATAGTTCGAAAGCAATAGTTCAGGGCTGCGCGGTTTGCTCGCTGTCTTTTGAGAGCTCACCACTGGTCCAATTTCATACGGGATTCTCCGAGCATATTAGGAAAGTAGGGGCTTGTGGAGAAGACTCGTTGGGCCATTCGAGATTCAAAGAAGTTTGCCGCCTTGATTCAAGATTTGAAGGATTTGCTGGATGGGCTTGGTGAGATCACAATATCTTCCAGATCAACGATACTCAAGGGACAGCTTATTCGGGAAGAGACGCAATCAATGTCGGATCTCAAGATGCTGACAGTTATTGAGCAGACGTGTTCCGATACAGATTGGAGGAGTTCTGCGAGTTCTGCGAGCACCTACTTTAACAATCAGAATCGGCTAACACCTGAGGGGCGAGAAGATATCCAAAAGTGGATGCAGGTTTGTCCTCGCCTGGAAGTTGCAGAAGGAATATCTCCAGGTCAGGATCATGGTCAAATGCTGCCAGATATTAACGGAATTGCGTATGAACCATCACAACTCGCGGCTTCCCTGTACCCGCCACCTCATACGAGACAGAGCAGTCCTAGTAGTTCTAGTCGTCTTAGACTGAAAACTTTCGGTACATGCATCTCTGCCATATTTATGACGCAGAGTTTATGCTTACTTGCGCAGACACCCCGTTTGAGAAGACAGACACACAGGTACTTGTGCTATGCAGCACAAGTGCATTGATAGTATGGATGCCAAAGACAGACAAGACTTTCTACCCCGTGTACAAAATTCCTCAGACCACGACCGCAAACGCGATCACCGCTTCCCGAATGATGAAAGCTATCGTGGTTCCACCTCATTTTCGTTACCCTAGCATCACCATCTACTGTCCTCCTCGCATGCGCTTCGTGCACATGGCGCTGAGTATTCTAAATCCGCGTGCGGATGTCCAGGAAATGGCTCAGACACAGTTTCACATTCGTTTCGACGACCGCCTTCTCGATCGGACAATTTCTTTTAGTGGCATTACGGAGAGAATGAGGGGTTACCACCGCGACATTGAGAACTGTTTTTCCACTAGAGATAGTTCTCAACAGAGGATCTTGGATTCTATCGACATGAATTGGCTGGAACAGCGAATAGAAGTTCTAGATGATCCTTCCTACCAACCGGTTTTAGATACGCTAGAGTGGAGTACGATCTTCCGACAAAGCAAGGACGACACACACTGTGCAGGGATTATCATCATGGCGGGCGAGGATACATGTTGGAAAATGTTCAACACTGCACCAGTAGTGCCGCCCGACACCTTTCAGGATGGGAGAGTGTACCGTCTAAGGGAGTTGGATGGCGGAGAGCCGATGTATAAATGGAAGGCTGAACACTACTGTAACGTTTCCGCCGACCTCAAATATAAAGAGCGCTTTGGTGGAGGATGAACATACCGTTCGAGCTATGCAAAGGCGTTTGTCAAGATCTTTGCGCGTGGGCTGGAACGCTAATATACATAGAATGTTATGGTATTGTAGTTTTTCCTATGCATAACTGCCCTATTCTTTTTTAAACAGTCGACCTAACATCGAGCCCCCTTTATCTTAGTCTACACATATTCTTTGACCATATATAAATCTCTAATTAGAGTCGATGTGGCCTTTCACCTTTGGTATCGTGTTGCATGCTAATGAACCTAAAATAGAGGCTAAAATTGCAATAGTAGCCAGATATCTACAATAAGAGATGTGCATAGCTTTAGCTTAATGTCGAAATGTTAGATCTTAGCGAAAAAAAAAAGCTTCGCATGTGAGCGGGTTTGACGACGGGTGTGAAGCAATTTGCAAAGGCACAGTACGATTCGATGTTACCAAGCCTGTGAATGAAGCCGAATCCTGGATCCGTTCTTTTAACCATCACCAGCCAACTCCGCAGCTCCAAAAAACCGTCCCATGATATACCCTGCGCCATCAAACACCCACAGCCCACACCTCATACAGCAGATACAAACAACGTTTCCCGATGTCTCATAAGATCAAGCTCAAGATTGAGCTTACCAAGTAGTAGCAACCTGAGGATACTCCTTCTTACTAATCTTGAGATCATCATAGACAGAGTCATCACCATGCAGGTGCTCAACTCTTAGCTCATCCTCATGTTCCAACTTCTCAATCTCCTCTTGCGGAGTCTCCTTGTCATGCTTCTGGTCCTTGGTCGTCGGCTCAACACCCGCCTCCATCTTCTCGCCAATAAGCAGAATCTGGCAGTACTCGTAGTCCAGGTACTTGGGCTTGACCTCGACCCAGGCTAAGCCACGGAATTCATCGATAAACCTGCTTGTGGTCAGTCAAGAACATTTAGTGATAAACGAGTCACTTACTCTTTAGGGAAGCCAGGTTTCTGGTCCAGCTGAGCAGAAGCCGGGCCACTGCGTTCAGGGTTCTTGACGCTCATGATGAAGCTACCCTGATCCTTGATACCGAGGTCTTCCTGCACCTCGCCAAGCTCAGAAGGTATGGTGGTGGAGTAAACGAGATGGCATGTGCGGTCTTCAGTGCGTGTAATCGCATATACACCCTCCGCAACAGGCGCAACAGGCTCTGTGCGCCGACTCCCCTGCGTCTTCGTCTCGTACTCGTTTGCGCCAAAGAAAGTTTCCTTCAGTTCCTTAATGGACGTGTTCGCCTTTTCGACAAACGCCATAAAGCGGTCGTTGTGTGACTTGGGAAAGACCTTCTTGGGGAGCGCAAAGAGCCGGATGTTGTTGGAGTCGGCTAGTGCACCGTCACCTAGTTTGGCTCCAGAAGGCATGGGGCGTAGGACGAAGAAGGTGCGTTGGAGGTCACCGACGCTTTCCGATTCTTCGATGCCGACGCGGTTACGGGTGAAGAAGTAAATGACACCCTTTTCGAGGATGTTGGATGGCATTTGCTTGGCACGCTGAGAGGACGACTCGATTGCGCCTTCGCCATCTGTGGTGGGCTCCTTGGGGGCGCTGTCATCTTGATCTGGGGTGTTCTCTTGTGTCTTCCCTCCGTTTGTGGTCTCGTCGACCTTGGGTGCAGCTCCAGTATCTTCTTCAGTGTTTTCTTCAGTCGTCGAAGGCTTCTCGTCACCAGTGGCTAATGCTTTCGCGTCGCTTGCGTCGACAAGATCTTCAGCAGCTGCCGCTTGGGCCTGCTCTTCTGATTGCTCTTCCTGCTTTGTGTCCTCGGCGTCGTCAGAAGCGTCTTTCGTGTCGCTGTCTGACAACTTGCTTGCGTCCATTGTCTCCTCGATAGTCGCCTGCTTCTTCGACGCCTTGCGATCACGTTTGGGTGACGGCTCAACTTCTGGCTTGCGCTTGGTGCCAGCTGCTACATCATTGCCTTTTGCAGGACTGGAGTTGTTGTCGGTCTTGCGTGCGGAAGAGCGTGTTCCTGCCATCGTCGCTGAAACAGGGTTTGGCGTGAACTGGGATGAATTGAGATGAACTGAGATGGATTGGTGAAATTTCGTAAAAAGGGAAGTGATGTAGATGAGTGAAGTAATGATGCAGAGGGCGGGTGTTTGCGCGCACTCAAATTGTGTGGCAGGCGCGTCGCGTGAATGGTGACGTCAATGGCAGTAATTAGTTCATCGACGCGTCAGGAAGGCACGTGCAACCTTGAGCCATCACACTGAAGCCACGATCGATAGTGTGAAACGAATTGAGAGCGCGTGGAATTGCGATGCGCACCCGCGTGCGTGATCTTGCAAACTTCCCACCATATGGACCTTATATACAACGCCCTCTGACCTATATCGAGAGCCGCACGTAATCGCTCGACCTATACGAAGCCACTAGGAGAACCATGGCTGCTGCTTCTTACGCGTGTCTTTTGAGAAAGGCTCCAATGCCTTCTGCGATACCCTCTGGACTTGGCTTGTCTGCGCACACATCAGGTGTGAACCCAAACTCCTGTCTTAGGTAATCGCGCGTAGTCGGGCCGATGGTAGCTATCAGGATGTCTCTCTGATCAGCAGCCGTACACCTGGCTTTGGCCTTTCCAGTCTCCGCATCCAGAAGCCCAAGGCTCTCAAGCATCGCTTGACAACCGCTGGGAGAGAATACCACGACCCATTGCCGTGTCGAGCCTTGATCGGCATTTTTCCGCCAGATGGTGGAGAAGTCGTCCTTGAAAGACTGCATCTCCCCAGTCTCATATATAACAACCTCATCTACTTTCGCCCTCTGCTTTGGATCCAGCTCTCCTGACTGGAGAGTCTTTGGTATTATATCCCTCCTCTTATCGCCCACCATGAAGAGTATAGGTGGATTCATGACATCTGGATGGAGGGCGTTGTAGTGCTTCAAGATGAAGCCAGCCAAGGCCTCGCCGTTGCCAGTCTCCTCACCCAAGATCGGACACTTGAGATCAAGCGATCGCAGACCGCGGGCAGTAGCTGGACCTACTACATACAACGGCAGGCTCTGTGGAAGCAGATCGTCAATGTCGAGGGACCCCTCCTTGCGGATTTCCTCGACAACCTCACTGAAGGCTTCGACTGCGCGTTGCGAGGTGAATATCAGCGCACCATATTTCCCGAGGCCCTGCTGCGACTTTGGCACGAAGCCGCGGTTGGTGACATGTTGGCGCACATCATGCAGGGCGTCACGCTTGAACCTGTGCTCCAAAACGGGCACGAAGACGGGTGCATAGCGGCCGTCGTCAAGGGTAAGGAAAAGCTCCTCATACGTATCCTTGGGTATTGATTTTGTCTTGAGCAGCAGAATGGGGATCTTGCCCCGCGATTGCTCAGCCATCATGTGGTTTGGTGGGTGCATGTTCGAGGCCCGAGTGAATGTTCCGGTCGATTGATGGAGACTGCGGGCGGCACTAGCCCGCCCGCTAAAGTTCGGGAAAAGTTGCCAGGATGTCGCCCGTGGTTCACTCGAGACCCTCGAATTTAATAGTTGTCCTCCCACCGCCCTTAGCCCTCCACCCTCACTTTTCGGCGGTCTACTTAGGTCTCGCAGATCTTTCCCCACCGCTGTATTTCTCAGTCAACTCGTCAGCCCAATTGACTGCACAGCAACCATGGCCGACGTCGCAACACCACCCGCCGCCCAGGCCACTTCCACCAACGGCGCTGCTGCCCCCAAGGAAAAGCAGCAGATTGTCAAGCCCGACAAGCCCGATGAGGACAAGTACAAGGAGGAGCTCGCCAAGTTGGAGAAGGAGCACGCCGCCGCCCAGGAGAAGCTGGTGAGTGCATGTCTTGGTGTGATGCGCGCAGTCGCACGGCCATGAGCCGGCGGGTGGCTGCATCGCACACTACTAGATCACACAGGAAAATTACTGACGACGGACAGAACGCCTGCAAAGCCAAGCTCGACCTTGCCAAGCCTAACAACAAGGACTCGCCTAACGCAAAGCGCCAGCAGGAGCTCAAGACTGAGCTCAACGCCATCCGCCAGTCTCAGCAGGGTAACAAGTCCGGACGCAACGCCATCTTCGAGAAGATCAAGAAGCTCGACGAGCAGCTTAAGCAGCAGCTCAACGAGCTCAAGACTGCAAAGGGCAAGTCCAACTACAAGTCGGCCGAGGATGTTGACCAGGAGATTGCCCGTCTGCAGAAGCAGGTCGACACTGGCATGATGAAGCTGGTAGACGAGAAGAAGGCCCTGGCCGAGATCAGTGCACTTAACAAGGCCAAGAAGAACTTCTCCGGCTTCGACAGCCAGCAAAAGAAGATTGACGACATCAAGGCCCAGATCGCTGAGCAGAAGAAGCTCCTGGACGACCCTGAGAACAAGGCCCTCAGCGACAAGTACACCAAGCTCCAGACCGAGCTGGATGGCCTGAAGGCTGAGCAGGACGAGGCTTTCAAGAACTTGAGGTCGCTTCGCGAGGAGACAGACAAGGCGCGCGCAGTGCAGCAGGAGAAGTACCAGGCCCGCAAGGAGCTCAAGGACAATTACTTCCAGCAGCTACGCGCATTCAAGGACTACGAGTTCCAGGCCCGTAAGATTCGCAACGAGAAGAGACGTCTGGAACAGATTCAGTATGTTGCCAGCAAGCGTAAGGAGACGGCCGCCAAGCGTCTCGAGGAAGCCAGCGCACCTGCGTACGGCGACGAGATCATTGCCTGCGAGGGCCTGATCCGCCACTTCGACCCCTCCGCGCTCCCACCCAAGGAGACTACCGCCGCTAGCAAGTTCGCCGCTTCCGCCCAGCGCACCGTCGATGACTCGGGCCTCAAGGGAACCCGTATATCGAAAAAGGACACTGAGGAGGAGAGCTACTTTGCCGGTACCGGCGGAAAGAAGGGCAAGAAGGGAAAGAAGGGCGGCGCTGCTGCTGCTCCCGGCAAGTTCAACCTCAACATCGGTATCATTGAGGAGTTGGCCAAGGTCGGTGTCGACCCCCCTTCAAACCAGGAGGAAGTCCCTGCCACCGTCGAGAAGCTCCAGGCTAAGCTCAAGCACTGGAAAGAGGACCAGGACCGCAAGACCAAGGAGGTAAGTCATCACATATCTGACTGCTAGGACTCTGCTAACTATCTTTAGAACATCGCCAAGGCACAAAAGGAGATCGACCGCCTCGAGGCAGAGGAGGCCGAAGAAGACGCCGCGAACGGCAGCACAGACGCTGCCCGCAAGCCCGCGCAGAAGAACCAAGCTGTCAACGGTAGCGCTTCCGCCGAGGCCGAGCACGACCAGGAGAAGGACGCCGCGGCAGACGCTGCCGACGACCTCAAGAAGGCGTCGATTGAGGACAAGGAGACAGCTGCCGACGCATAGAGCGTGCAATGTCACAACTTGTCACTAGAGGTGTTAGCCTCTCGGAACTTGGGTCATATATCCGGGATATTTGCTCTTGCATATTCTAGGATCTAGCCCACATCTTCATTTCTAGCTTGGAATCGGTATATTCTCCGCTATTGTTCACGGGATACCAGCATGGCATGGCATTGGACGGGGTCACGGAGTGGGGTATGAAGGACGTTTCTCTTTTAGACGCGCAGCAGATCTAGAGGGATAATGTCACCATCTTATTTTCAACGTGGCGCCTGGGCTGTTGTCCAGCACAGTGAATGTACTACTCAGCCATCTAGAACTTGATTCCTAGCTTGAACAAGCATGACATGACGCAAGACCCTGAGCTACATGCTAGACCACCCGTAAAACTAGAGCCGGGTGACACCAAATGAAGCTACCCCACATAGTGGGGTGGATGAATGTGGTTCCAACGCGCGCACCACTGCGAATGACATCATCAGGGCAAACTCAATATCAATACAAAGTCGCGCCATATCCTCTCCTTCTCTCACACCCAAATTACCTGCCTACCACCAAATCACCCATAAGAAGGTATGCTTCAGTCACGTTTTCTTTCTCAGTGCATCTCAAGGACAGCGCGAAAGAGTCCTCGGACATTGTACTGCGTACCGAAGCTGACGCCATCTCCGCAGCTATCACATAACCACACCACACCTCAACGCGTATTCTCTACAACAACCTTCAACATGTCTGGCTTTAGCAACGCGGATACCGGCTCCAAGACGGCCGACCCCTACACACAGAAGAACCTTGAGGAGCCCTCCCTCAAGGAGAAGTGCGAGGACCTACTCAACTTCGTCGACAAGACCAAGTTCTGCCTGTTGACCACACAGGTTGCTGACAGCGACCTCCTGGCTTCAAGAGCCATGGCTCTCGCTGCCAAGGTATGTTTTCCAACCACCAATCGCTCATCATAGGGATTGAAGAGGCGCTAATGTATGCTGCACAGGAGGGCCACGGCTTCGACCTCCTCTTCCACACCAACACCGAGTCCGGCAAGACAGACGACCTCAAGGAACACAAGTCTGTCAACATTGGCTTCATCAACAGCTCTGGTGAATGGGCATCCATTTCTGGTCATGCCTCTATTGAGACTGACCGCGAGGTCGTGCGTAAGCACTACTCCCCCGCGCTCAAGGCGTGGATCGGTGACCTTGGTGATGGCAAGCACGACGGTGGACCCGAGGACCCCCGTATTGGTAAGAAACTGCTCTGTGCAGACTAGTTGTGAAACATGGACTGACTTGTACATCAATCGTTAGGCATCATTCGCGTCAAGGCCAGCACCGCACAATACGCTGTATCCAAGCGAACACAGATTGGCGGATTTGTTGAGTTGGCAAAGGGTATTGCGACTGGAGAGGCACCAAGCGTAAACAAGCTAAGGCATCTCGACGAGGCGGAGATTCAGCAGTACAGGTCGCAGTAGATGCAACCTTGGAAGCTGTTCGATTCACGATTCCACGATGCTGCAAGAGCGGCAAGATAGCATAATGATCATCAAAAAGTAAAGAATCAAAGTAATTACTAAGCTGCCTGTCCCAATGCCCGGACCTGCGTCAAACATCATGGAGTGAGGCTGTGGAGCTATGAAGCTGTGATCTGCATGACGTCACGTCCGCGCGACATTCCGAGGTCGCGTCTCAAACCTCCATCCGCGACATCCACACCCGGCGTAGCTCTCTGCTCTACAAACCTCGCGCCGTAACTTCACACCTCCATCAACACCTCTCAAGATGGAAGACCCAGGTTCGTCGCACCCTCCATTACCCTGACGTTGTCCAATGCGCTTCCCGGTAGTAGTCCGGCTTGACGGCGCGTACTTTTCTTCCTTGCTAACAAATCTCCCGCATTCTAGTCAAGGAAATCCCCGCAGTAATTCACCTCCTCACGCAATCTCCGCCATCGCTGCAGCGCGCGACGATTGAGAAATACTTTACGCCCGATGCCGCCTTCTCCCACCCGTTTTGCCGTACATGGAGCAGGCCAAACTCGAGATGGTTGGTTGAGCGGACATATCGGTGGTACAAGATTATGAGTCCGAGAATCGATTGCACGGTGCAGAGTGTTGGTATGTCTCAACACCCCCCTACTTGGCTATTTGCATGTATACAGGACAAGATGGCTAACGAGAAGAGGAAACAGCGTTTGATGAGAAGAACCTCATACTTTACGTCACAATCTTCCAAATCTTCCGTATCTGGTTGATACCGTTTTACTACGCGCCGGTGCGACTTACCACCGTTTTGTACCTCCGTCGGTCGGCCTCTCCGCCCACGTATGCTTCCATCGCCGCTTCTTCGTCCACATCCGCTTCCGAAACCAAACCAAATCACTCTCTACTCGCAGATGTGACCTCGCAGAACTCATCCTTGCCGTCCAACACCTCGTCAAAACCCCTCTACCACATCTCCAAGCAAGACGACCTGTACCAAGTCGACCAGTGGATCCGCTTCATTGCACCGGGCGCGTGGATGTTGATCTGGTTGTGGCAGGTCTGGGCGACGATATTCTGTGTTGCGGGTACGGTGCTACTTTGGCCTGTGACGTGGGTGGAGGAGAATTGGGGGTGGGGTAGTGTAGGAGTAGGGGGGAAAGGAGTGGCGAAGATGGAGGTTGAGAAGGCGGGGAGTAAAGAGAGTGAGGTTAGCGTTGATGGGTTGGAGGAGAGTGAGGTTTTGGGGAGGAGTGGGTTGAGGGGACGGATTGTGGGGTGAGCATGGTATGGTAATATGCCGGCATGGATGACGGGGCGAGGCTGCAGGAGTGTATCGATTTGGATTACGCGTGGGACGATATGAGGAGGCTTGAGGCAGGTAGGCGAACACGTCAGCTGTAGATGTTACAGCATTCGCCAATCAAATGTCCTTATACAAGCAAGAGATAAGCTGAGGTTACACAGCGTAGACAGGATATCCCACGATATGACAAATCACCGCCAAGGAAGAATATACATACAAATCAGTAGAGCAGCCTGGTTTGCGATTAGCATTCTTAGATATCCTTACCCTCACACTTTGTAAAACCTAAACAAAGCTATGTGCTCAAGAGCCGACATAAAACACAACGGCTGTGGGTGTACTCTCGAAGGTTTCAAGGTTACTTGCAATGGCACGCTCAGAGGCGAGTGTGACGGCACGGTTACCGTGTCCATGATTGAAACGCCATAAGCTTGCAGTAGTTGCAAGCAACATGCATGGTATGTCTGACATCTCTAGAGAAACGGGCTTATGCCAACTTCAGTCACCCTTAGGTGGCTCTCGGGAAGCTCTACTGCGAGTTCTGATTTGCGTTGAGAGTAAAACGTTTGGATATGAAATAATGCGGTTGGGATATGAGTTTTGCGTTTCGGTACTTCATATTAGCTATCTAATCTAGTACTGGAGAGTCTGAAGAGCCTCTTCTCTTGGTTGTGGCTTCGTGATAGAACTTTGCATATGAGAAAATGAAAGTATTAGCGTGATTCAGCCCGCTTTCCGGTGCAGACATTACTTGCGATAGAATACAGTAAGACGATGCTTGCGTGTTCAAACTCATCGAGACATCCATGGTGTAACGGGAACAACGGGATTCTCATAGGGTACCAAGGCCAACAACTGCTGCCATGTGCCATTCTCTCCAACCATAGGTATACCAGTAAGGAACTCAGCAAGACTGTTGTAGCCCTTATAGTAGACATTCCGAGGACCCAGATCCGTCATAAACCCAAGCTGCCGGTGCTGCCGTCCCCTGCCATACTTTTCTAGTGCCAATCCAAGTGTCTTCTGTACCACATGATTGGGCGACAATTGCAGAACAAGTTGAGAGATGACGTTGAGGTACAACCAGGTATGCGAGCCAGTGTCTGAGATATACGAGTACTTTACGAGGTCAGCGATGAGATTGCGCTTCCGTTTCTGCCTCCAGGGTTTTGTGTGCTCGTCTGCGTACGCGGCCATGAGTTGGAGGGTGAAGCCCGGATCGATGTTGGGTGTTCTGCTGGGCTCGACGGCTTCGACAAGGAGCATACGGCCGTCTTCTAGTGTCGACGTGGCGATTCGACGGTGCATGTAATCTATATGAGGCACACAATTAGGACGCAGATGATTCCACCAATACACATAACAAGTAGTTGGATGGTCTGCCACTTCATCTCCTGTACCTTCACCTCCCTCTCCTTGTCCAGAATGTCGAGTTCGTGTTGGTACTCTCCCGTGCGTGTAGACATATTGTGACATGTGTGCTCGTGGTGTTAAGTGAATGTTTGTTAGGAATATGTTTGGTGTGTGTTTGTGAGAGATGCAACAGGTGGGCGCGTTCTTTCTTCTGCAGGAGCGAGGCACGAAAACCGTTGTAGGTTGGCCATTCGAAGGGGGTTGCTTTGACGAGCTTCGGCATGTCGACTGGGAGAGAGTATGCGATGATTTCGAGGAGGTAGCGCTGTAATCTCATAGCTCTATGCGCAGCTTCCACTTGCTCAATTTTCGTGGCCGTATTCTCAGTGAATTCTGGTGTTCCGGGAGTGTAGGGAGGTGGAGCGTCGGTGTGGGTAGCCATGATGGTGGGTAAGATTGGAATCGCAAAGACGGAATACGAGAGCTTTGGAGGTCTGAAGCAGAAGAAAGTAGGATTGGGATTGTGTGAGTCAAATTTAACGCGTGGCGAGCCTCGTGGAAAGACCCTTTTCTTACCACTTTATTCGGTGGGGATTGGCCGGAGGGTCACAAATTGGGGTCGCCTATTGATACAGATATGGACTGCTACCAGGTCAATACAAGATGACTCTAGCAGAACATGATGCGATATTTGCGACGCTTGTAGATGCAATATACGAGCCCTAAAAGTTTACCACGAAATATCTTTCAGCAACCAAGGTACAGTGCGTAGATAGGACGCCACCTTGGCGGAGTTAAGCAATGCAAACATATTGTGTTTTCCGAAATGATAGGGCTGGGAAACGTGGTTGCGGTCGGTCTTGACCATTAAAAATGCGCTTGCGCAAGATGTAGGTGGAAGGACGATTCAGGATTGTTGGGTCGGATACAGTAAGCCCGTCTAGGTGGGCGCTAAAAGCATCAGGTGAATACCAGTTCCTATACCCAACGTGTTAGTCACCTCCAACAGACAAATTAGATAACCCGGCGCCCAATCTCTGCAGTCAAATGATGGCCTTATGCAGTCGATAAGCGGCAGCTCTGCATCGCTACAGCACGTACTCACAGTGGCAGCGCTGCGTTGTTGTTATCCCTAAAATGAACAGTTCAATCCACAGAAAGACATGACCATTTTCATCTCTAATGCCTAGCAGTTTTGGGGAACTCATGACATAGCCTTGCAACTCTTATCTTGATATTACCACCTCGAGCCTGAAATAGCATGCAGCGCGCAGTCGAATCAGAACTTTTACATAAAGCGCCACTGTTCACAGCCTGATTCAAAAGCAAAATTCTGGTCAGCCGCGCATCCACTTCTGGTTCACACATGATTCTCTGCCGGCACAAGGTAGAGTAAATCGCCACTCTCCCATTCTCTCCATCTGCGTTCGGCAACATAGTGGCCATCTCCTGGTACACGCAGGCAGACCTTTCTATAGAGGATAGGAACTCCCAACCCACCACGAGGGCGCATGAATATCCAGATCGCTGAACAGATTCGTGGGAGGAATAATTTGGTGTGGGAGAAATATTCTAGACTGCAGCTCAGCTGGTACATATCGATACATGCATGCTATAGATAGAAGGTGGCTTGCCGGCTCAGCCTTGTTGGAGGGGCACGACAGTTCAGTTAAGATGTATGGGTTCCACGACCGAAGAACCGCATACATCTTTCTCTTAATTAGATGCGCAGGAAATCTCTCAGAGGCCGATACCCGCGTACAATCATCTTTTCCTTTGTGCAAGTCAACGAGCCAGCGTACTGGCTAATAACCACCCATCATGAACAGCTCCACGCCATACAACTTCACAAATCTCGATCCTTATGAGTACAGGGACGACAACTGCAGTAGTATGATGGAAGTTTGGAGTTACTTACAATATAACACAACAGGGGAAACCAAGTATTATCTGGGATACGACGACAAGGAAAGCGTTTATCAGTCCATTATACGGGGGTTCGAAGCTATTAAAAATGGTTCAGTGGAAGCTCCACCTATGAATCAAAGCTTTTGGGACTGGTCTATCAATGATGGGGATCTCCGTCGTATTATCAGCAACAGGGGCTGGGATGATTGCCCTGCAGAGATGTGCAAAGTTATCGGCTGGGAAGGTAGCCCTGACCTTGCCGGAGTCGGTGTGAGTACCATGACAACGTCGAGACCACCATGTGCTAATCAATGTAGATGCTGGCCACATACATAATACAGGCTATCTTGATCACAGTCTACCTTTGCGGAATACTCACGGTCAACCTTAACCAGCGGTCGAATCAATCATGGATGTGGCCCCCACTCTCGCGTATCCTATGCGCAGTACTTGACACAACTCGCGAGTTCCTTTCAACCTCAGCAATATTCTCACTTGCTTTGTTGATCGCTTCCGTTTGTTCAATCACGCAACTTGAGGCGTACGAAAGTTCCATGACATGGATACTTCTGCTGGTCATACCTCTATACTCGGTTCTCGCAGTGTTTGTACTGCACCTTGCAGCATGGGAACTACTTCAAAGATACAAAGGGCGAGTACTGGTACTGCTGATCATGGATGCCATGGTTATCGTTCTTGCCGCGCTCAGTTCGGTTCGTTACAATGACGGAGGATCTGGATGGGGGGTGAAAGATGTTGATCCATCATATGAAGAGAGCCCTTGTTTGAAGGTTAAGTCGTTCAGGAGTATGGCAATCTTGTTCTGGACTGTCGCTGGGTTCTTGTGTCTCAGTGTTACAGCATATCTTATCGATTTCCTTGTCTCTATGGTTCGGCGACGACCTGGACTGTTTGAACGACTCTCTAGCATGATACGATGGGCAGTCATCGTTGCGGGCTTGTGCATGATGTGGTATCTCATCGGTTGGTTCGTGAAATTGACTCTTGACATACGATCTCGCGCCGGAGACAACAACGGAGACAACAAATGGACATTTGGGCAGGTGCTGGCACTTTCAACATGGTGAGTCTCGGACGTGCTGAATTTGCAAGATGCATACGCTGACTTATGTCTATCTGCAGGGTGCCTTTCCTGATAGAATTCGGATATAATATATGGGAAGGGCCAAAGAAAGCGAATGAAGCGCATTCCAATTATCCATCCAAGTCGGTTCTACCGAGTTCATTTGCAATGCGATCACCAGGGGAAGATGAAGAAAGAGGCAGATTTACCCTGCTCGAGTGAGTACCAGATAGGGTACCTTACTGTCAATACTCATTGCATTTTTCACCAATTAATACATGGTCGTGGTCAGGCGCGGGTGCTCTTTTCTTGCATAGTTTCTTAGTCTTGTCTTTACAATGAACGCTTTTGTTAACAAACTTGCCGTGAGCTGTCACAATTCATAGTGACTCAGCAGTGTCAATGCTAACATCGGCAAAGCGATGAAGAAGCTTCCAGCGCCAAACACTATCTCCCAGGTACCCCAGTAAAGCTTTCCTCCGGCTACCACACAAAGGAGAATACCCAGGAATATGGAAAAGAATCTGGCAGGATCCCACATAGTCTCAACATACAAGCCGTCTAGTTCTACATATCTGTTCTGTGGTCGAGGCTGCTGCAGTCGGGGTGGCTCGGGTGGCAAAAAGATCTTCCTTAATGATGTTGACGTTAACCAAGTTCTACAACGTGTGTACCCAAGACTTGCCTGTATTTATGAATGAAGCAATGCCCATCAAAACCATTCAGTATATCTTGAGAGCGAGCACCAGCCGGATTACGGAAGTAGGAAGAAAGAAAAGGTGCAGTCTCAATCCAGTTCAGCCAATCGTTGGAAGTTTCCCATTCGAGAAACGGACAGACGCCATCATCAAGTCCGCTTGAAGAGTTCCATGGGCAATCACTGTTACAATGTTCCCACTCTCCTGAGCTGTCGCGATAGCATTCCTCTGGATATGGACCATAATCGATATGAGTTATCGAACCAATAATCGTGCCAGCTTTCTCTCGTCGCTGAGAGTAGATTTTATGGCATTTTAACAGGTCCAAAGGTTCAGTGAAGACTAAAAATTTCGCTGAAGAACGGCTGATCAATCGAAACTATACTTGACTTTAGCATATACAGGCACGCTACGACATGGCTGGAACATACGGTGACGGGTCTGAGTCTACTAAATTTGCGGAATGTAAGGTACCTTCGCCAGAAGCCAAGTTCTTCAGCATACTGTTTGGCTAACGAAGTGAATATCTCATCTTCACTCTTAGAATCGGCAATCGGAACGTCTATAGCCCAAGTCGGAAATCTTTCAGAGTCTGTAGAGCCCCATAGCAAAAACACACAGCTCGCACCATCCTTTCTATCGGCTTCGTCTTGGAAGTGAGTGAAGATGTTATCCTCAGGCAGCTCCGGCGGCTTAAGCAAGATGGGGTGCGCTGGCCTCGGCCGTCTGTTCCTGGGACTCTTTCGGCCATTGTTGGAAGCAAGTTGGGTTTCAGTCGCTTCCGCCGCAATGCGTTCTGTGGAAGACTTGATGAAAGCTTTCTGCGGTGGTGGCAGAAGGTCTGCTAACAGCAGCGGCATGATGTAAAATTATCTCAGTGAGGACGAGAGGACTTGCTCATCTCTGTAATGCCACGACACAGCAACTTATGCAAACGATGACCAGACAACACTGCGCTCCAAGGCTACTTACATTGTCCCAACTCGAGGGATCAAGGCAGACGGGTAGAGATGGTGTTCAGTTCCCATATTGCACGCGAGGCTGAAGACACTGCCCGCATGTGGCGAAGCAAGGCTGATGTTGCCATCACCCACCCCAACCTCGTATGCAACATTCGTTGAAAGGACTAGGCAGAGTCCTCAGATTGCAGTGATTCCAACTGGAGAAGTCTGCTACGTTGTTCTAAGATTTGCATGCTACCGAAACGCTGAAGATGTCATGCACACCTAACTTGTCTGAGAATCTGCTCGCCTTAGGTATTCGAAACTTGGCGTGGAGATATTTAAGTTTGAGATCTAGAGCCTGCCATCTGCCAGGATCCCCAGCCCGGGGAACGGCTGAGTTGCGAAACTCGTGGAGTGGACTTTGAGTGGAGTGAACCGGAATTGCTCACCTCGACGATCCTGGTCGTTGTTGCAGTAGCTTGTTGACGTGGCAGTGATTGAGCAGCGACTGAACGGCCGAGGATGCATATTCGCGGTCCTTCCACGAAACAATAACAAGATGGTTCACCACTGGACAGAAGTCTGCCTCGAATGCATGACCGCGACGCGGATCGACGGATTCAGCGGACGGTGGAGGCGTGGAGGGAAGGAGGGCGAGCGACGATAGGACCCACATTGTGGGGTATCGTCGCTTGACGGGCTTATCGCAACGTCATTGGGTAGCAGCGCGGCACTTCCGGTCCACTCCCGGTCAACAGCCAACGTTAACCGCATACACAAGGCGGTGACTGACTGGCTGAATTTCCTCGTCGTTGCTTCTTTCAGTTCAACATGCGTTCTCTTCGTCCTCTGTATACTGCATTGCCATGATGATGGCGCACACCAGCCGTGACAATCACCAGGCCTTGAGGCGTACCACGACATCCACCGTTTGCTTGCGTTGCCCTTTCCAGCCTCTCTCGTTGCACAACGTGTGCTTGTAATCGCTTCAGCATGCAAGGAATCGCACATCACGTCACTGTCTATATTCACTTCCCTCACACCATCACCATCCCCGCACCAGGCCATCGCCGCCAATATCAAATCCATTGACGCAAGCACCGCCTCTGCTGACAGCAGCTGTACCCTGTAACCTCTACGTAGCATGGTGGGTAGATAACATAAACACGCTCTTTGCCTCTCTACCCTGAACTACCAGATTGCTTTTGGAACTGACGTAGATACTCTCATGCATAGTCGGACCACACCTCACCCTTTGAGGGCTCTGATTCACCCTCACGACAGCGAAGTCCTACACCAGGCGATCCCAAATACCACTACGAAAGCCTCAATGACATAGGCAAAAGTTCTGCCACTAGTGCACCCTACACCAGACGTCGTCCATCTCGCACCAGTTCGGGCTCGAAAGGCACCCCGCCTTCAGCCTCACCGCCCCGTGGAGACGACCATGACGAGAGCGAACAGCGGAATAAACCGCCTCGCAACACTTTGAAGAAGCTCCTGAGACGCGACTCGCACCATACCGATACGGGATCGACGTCACAAGGCAAACAGGAAGAGCTGGATGAGGACGGAAGCACCATCGGCTACATGCCCAGGCTCGGCCAGATAAAAGAGAGCAAGAGCAAAGTCAGCACACGAACAAGACGTCGAGGAAGCTCCGTTGTCAGCTCCTCAGCCGATGCGAAGGTTCTCCGTCGCCGGCATACTGGCGACAACGCTGTGAAACGCTCTCACACACGTGATAAAAGAAGCTCATTGCAGCGGCATGCTGGGAACATGGCCAACATGTCAGATCCCTCTCTTGTCTCGAGTGTGACGCAACAGTCAGATGTCTCAGGTGACAGCAATTCGACAGTATTGCAGAGGCCGTACAGCGGATATGACCAAGTCGCCCAATATCTAGAGCCTGATGAAAGCCATAGTCCGTCTGCGTCAACGACTGTGGAAAGCCCTGCTTTGAACAGTATGAACGCTACTCAACCAGCGGTGTTCCAATATCTTCAGTCCAGCGACGACACAGGCGAGAACTTTACGCCTACGCCCACAGATCTTCAAGCCATGCCCCCATCAACCATTGCCTCGTCGTCATCCTCATCATCAGGCGACATCCAGCACGACGATGGACGGTCGTCTGTAGCAGCAGACTCACAACATACTATCGATTCCCCCATGACCTCACCAGCCTCAACACGAAGGTCTTTTAAGACATCATCACATCTACCCAATCAGGGATTCCGCAAGTTTAAGAAGCCGTTATACGCTAGTAGCTTCGTGCATGGCCCTGGGGAAGAAGCTGAAACCAACCAGGAAGAAGGCAGCGACGAGAGTGGCAGTGGTTCAGAAAGCGAGGAAGAAGTGAACCAAAAGAACCAGGTACCCAACCAACATCTGACAGGAACCATTCCTCCTCGAGCTCCGTCGACATCCTCTCGTCAAAGCGATCCGCACGCCAGTCGTCTTAAACAGCAAGAGCGTGAACTAGCAAATCACATCCTCCAAGCTCCACAGCCGTATCAAGACTACCAATATGGCGCGGAGCAACCCACCTACAACTACCCACCCATGCCAATGTACAGCCCGCAAGGCTACTCCGGTGCATCTCCCGCGGCGGTGAATGCAGCCGTCAGCTCACCACCTGGATGGGCACCTATGGCCTCGTTCCCAGCCCCACTAGCCATTGGGTACGCGCCTCACCAATCCCCAGAAATGGCGCACGCGCATCCCCTGTCGATACGACCCCCTGACGGCATGAATATGATGCAGCACATGCCCCCGCCCTTTCCCCCACACGCCGGACAGCCGCCGCTGTACCAACAACACGCGCCGTCTTCCAGTAGCCAAACCAGGCCGACGGTAGTAGGCTACGAACTGCTAGCCAACGAACTCAGCAGATCGACAGAGTCACGTTCGTCGAGTGGCTCTCATAGCCGGAATGGGAAGAAGGGTCTCGTGCCCATGTATAGAAAGTTTGAGCATTTGAATCATCGAGTTTTGTTGCATTTGCAAGACGAGACTAGTGAATTAGAAGAAGAACTACGGAACCTAGATGAATGCATTGCCCAGATTACACCGAGAGATGCGGACGGGTATGCGTATCCTGCTTCCAGGCGGGGTGACGCGCGGTTCGGGGGTGAGATGCACTTCAAGAGGACCGAACTCTTGGGAAGGATTTACCAGAAGCTAGAGCAGTATAGTAAGTTGTGGCTTGATTAGAATGGGTGGCATGCGATCGTCGCTGCCACCGATCAAGTGTCGTTCCCGCTGACTCGGGTACCTATAGACAAAGCATTATTATCCTTTAGCAAGGTATCGAAAAGTCTCGGGCAGGCTCCTGCGCAGGCTGTCCAAGACTACCGCGAGTGGATGGACGAGCACGATCCGGTCGATGAGACGGAATCAAGCTTCTTAGAGCAAGATGAGGACCTGGTCACTATTGGTCCCCGCAAGCCAGCAGTGTCTACGCCTACTACTACTGCTACTGCTACTAGTGTGGCAACGCCCACAGCCGGACAAGACGCACTTCAATCAGCGCCACCGGCAATTACCTTCCCACTACTCCTCATACTACCCCTCGTGGCGTTTGCGATAGTGCCTAGTCTGCTCGGACGGATCATTGTTATCGGGCTGGCCGTTGGCATGGAGGGGAAGATCGTCAGGGAGACACCTCAGCTCATGAGATTGCTGTCTTTGCGTGATTGGAGTATAGCTGCTGTCGTGTAAGTTCCCTTCCTTTCATTCTGTAAGGATTCCAGCCCAATGCATTGTCGTGACGTCTGTCATTGAACCCAAGCTCTATGCGGACAAGGGAAGGAGCGCGTGGGTGCCACGACAGACGGCATGGGTAGATACCTCACCTCACCTCACCTCACCTCACATTACGGAGATTTGCAGCCCCACGTGAAAGCTTCCTCGTTCGGCGCGGAAGATACTTGGGTGCCAAAAACGCCTATTTTTTTCTTTAACCCACATGTATTATCTGGTGGAGACCCTACTTGCTCGACCGAACCGTTTCCTGAGGCGGTGCGCTTGATGAAGATTTGAGCTAACGCAAGACGAACCAGCTATTTCGGGGTAAACGTGCTCCTCGCGGCGCTGGTGCGCTGACGGTCTTGGCTCGGTTTTGGACTATGTGGAATGGGAAGGGAAAAGAAGGGTCCATGACTCGCAAAAAAGACAAGGACACACATGCAGGCCGCGCTATGCAGGCCTGCGCAAGAGGATGGATAAGTAGTTTGTGTCTGAAAGCCCGTGCGCCCCGAAAACTGATGGCGATCATTGCGCCGCCAAACTGCGCAGGGCGCGTCAAGGTGTCAAAGTGCGAGGCAAGCCAACCCGTACACGAAAGAGTCTGACCGAAAAGATCGCGAGCAGAGTGTGGAGTTGCCGTTTGCCGTGGTTTCTTGCGATGCTTTGTTTCGTTTGCTTGCAGCGAAGATCGTGTATGCATATGTATATATGTAATGTGTGTACTACTATATAGGTTCGCAGGCGTTCGCGTTTACTCTATTCGTTCGGCACGGCGCGGCGCATAATGATGGGGATCATCTGCTTTGGGAGTAAGGATGAAGGGTGTGCAGCGACTAGATGTATTGGTAACCTCTCAACTGGTACTCGTTCCCTCCCCGGCTCGGCTTTTGCTTTCTTTATGGTGATGGTAATAAATGACGCTCGGATGTGCTGTCTCCAATCCTGCAGGCGGGGCGGGTGCGTGTGGGCGGCTACCAGAGTTCACTCTATCCAAGGCACACCACACGAATCGCCAAATCGGCTGCAGGATCACTTTGTTCAATCTCCAGTTCCTGTTTGGAAGGAAGCGGGGCGGGGCCCTATATGGCGTGATGGGATTCCCAAGCGACTTGGGGCCCTGCAAGGTGATTGTATCTATTAATGCTAGTCACATATTCGTTCACTTTCGTATATGTACAATGTATGTGCATACCGAAACAAAACCTTCTTTTCTTTTCTGGCAATTATTCCGTGCGAGACGACCCTGTGGCGCAAGTGTGTACTGGTATTGGTATGACAATCACCCTGCGCGCGGTATTTGATAGTCAAGAAATTGCCGATCGCTAGCGGGCATGCATGCGGAAGAGGTTGTTTTGGCAACATTGCGATAGTCGTCGTTGTTTCTACTTGATGGAGCAGTACGGAGAGATGGGTAGGATCATCGGACCGACCAGCGAAGATGACGATGATGGGAAATGCAGTGCAATGATCGTCGACGACGGATACGGAAAACCGAATCAGTGATGAGGTACTTGATAACGGAGACCCAAGTCTGTTTACAGGCCCACCTCCACATCTTTGGTGCCAGCCCGCCGCCATTCATCTACCGTGGTACAACCCAAACAGGGCACCGGCGCGTCTTCCTTCTGCCCTCGGCAGCTGAGGGCTCCGGTAGATGCACGACTAGTCTGGTACACGCCGACGACAACGACGACGATGCCGATAGTTGTAAATGTCTTTCTTACTGCGATACCCGGCCGGAAAATCAAATAGTGTTGTTCAATTGGTGTCGGGCTTGACGTTGGCTAGTCGGCCTTAGCCAGGAACCAGCGGTCGCTTGGGCGCGGACCACGTTCTGCTTCAAGCACATGAGGCGCGAGAGGATCGGGGTTTTTTCAGGGGGAGGCGAACGGGCAGCTGACCAGAGTTTCAGACGGGGTGCAGACCCTGTTGTTCGTATGGGTAACTGAATGTAGTGCAGGTCTACTGTGTACGTTGCCAGTTGCAGGGTTTTGTCTCGCTCCCATCGTCTGCATGCACGCATCAAGGTAGTCGGTTGTGTTGTTGTGGGTGCCCGCTGCCCGTTTGCCCCTGCCTCGTTTGACGTCCCACCTTGGTGCAGCTCGCAGCCTCCACGCCCGGCCCACTCTTCCACGACGGACTGAAACACCCGTGAATCTGTAGACAAGACTACTCCACACACGCGCCCCTTCGTCCCTCCAGCCCAAGAACCAAGTCCCAAGTCACTCAAGTCACCACTAATCACAAGACTCCCCCAACGTCGCCAACCACCAAATCGCCAGTCCAAGTGCCCATTCCAAGTAACGTGAGTCGTCAGTCGGGAATGTCGCAGCTTGCCCATTGTCCACTCACCGTCTGAGCTCTCCCCCGCGGCCCCCTCTCGACCATTCACCAACTCGCAGCTGCCATCGCCCTCTCAGGCCACCGAGACACCGCCTAATTTGCCTGTCAACCACCAAATTGCCTGTTAACCACCAAATTGCCTGTTAACCACCAAACCCGCGCCCATCTCTTCTCGCTGGACGGGCCCGACCGCTGCAATTCCGCAGTGCCTGCCTGTCGCGACCGCGCGCACAAACAAAGTCACCGCCTCCTAAAGTCGCCCTCTCCGCGACACCTGACCCCCAAACATGGCGGTCTCCATGCTGCACGCTCCCTCGCGGGCTTCGACGTCGTCCTCGTCCTCGTTTGTCCCCGTATCGCGCCAGAACACAATGTCGTCCCACGATGGCTCGCGCTCGGTGCGCCAGTCGAAGCGCTACTCCGTGACCGCCCTGTATCTGTCCATGTCTGCCAAGGACAAGGAGCTCGAGATTGAGGATGACCTGGCTAGAGGTATGCGACGACGTGTGCGTAATGCGCCTATTAGGCTAATCGTTGGCAGCTCAGAAGATACTCCGCGAACTCAAGGCCAAGATCTCATCGCAGTCCAAGAAGAACTTCGTCCTGGAAAAGGATGTGCGCTATCTCGACTCGCGGATAGCCCTGCTGATTCAGAACCGCATGGCTTTGGAGGAGGTGCGTTGACCAGTCTTACCTACCACGCTGTACTGACCATTGCAGCAAAATGAAGTCGCCGACCACCTTGCCGACGGCCTCGAACTCCAGGAAGGCTTCTTCCCCAACGACGAGAAGACGCAGAAATACGGCAACCTGCTGTTCCTCCTCCAATCCGAACCACGTCACATCGCCCATCTTTGTCGACTCGTCTCCATGGCTGAGATTGATGCCTTGCTACAAACTGTCATGTTCACAATCTACGGAAACCAATACGAGAGTCGCGAAGAACACTTGCTCTTGACCATGTTCCAGGTATGCTGTCAACTCAATGGCCAAGAATCATGCTAACCCCACTACAGTCAGTACTTACGTATCAATTCGACAGTACTCCAGACTACAGCTCGCTTCTGCGCGCCAACACTCCAGTCTCTCGCATGATGACTACATATACCCGGCGAGGACCCGGTCAGAGTTACCTCAAGGTTGTCTTGCAGGACAGCATCAACTCCCTCATCGAGCTCAAGGATCTCGACCTTGAGATCAACCCGCTCAAGGTGTATGAGAAGATGGTTACTGAGCTTGAGATCCAGGGAAAACTTCCCCCAGACCTGCCCAAAGGCGTCACCGCAGAGCAGGCCGCCGAGAATGAGACTGTACAGAACATCATCACACCACGCGTTAATATGCTCATGGAAATTGCCAACAACTTCCTCACGACCATTATCAAAGGCCTCGAGGAAACACCCTACGGCATCCGATGGATATGCAAGCAGATTCGAAGTTTGACGAGACGAAAGTACCCTGATGCCCAAGATCAGACCATATGCACCCTCATCGGAGGCTTCTTCTTCCTGCGCTTCATCAACCCCGCCATTGTCACGCCAAGGTCATATATGCTGATCGATGTGCTACCCGCGGAGAACCCCAAGCGGACACTAACATATATTGCCAAGATGCTGCAGAATCTTGCGAACAAGCCATCGTATGCGAAGGAGCCGTACATGGTCAAGTTGCAGCCTTTTATCCACCAAAACAAGGAGAGGATCAACAAGTTTCTGTTGGATCTCTGCGAAGTACAAGACTTTTACGATACCCTCGAAATGGACAACTATGTTGCTTTGTCCAAGAAGGATCTGGAGCTTTCTATCACGCTGAATGAAGTGTATGCGACGCACTCGCTGTTAGAGCGACATGCCGCTGAGCTTGTGAGTGGATTGAAGGACTCCCACACGTTTCCGTGCTAACATTACCAGGCCAAAGAAGACAGTTCGCATCTTGGTGTCATTCTGCAGGAACTCGGCACCGCACCAGCACAGCTTCCGCGCAAAGAAAATAGGGCCATCAACCTCCCACTATTCAGCAAATGGGAAACACCTCTCGATGACCTCACAGCAGCACTCGACATCACGCAGGAGGAGATCTTCTTCATGGAGGCCAAGTCGACGTTCGTCATGATCCTCCGCTCGCTCCCTTCCAACACTTCCATAACACGACGACCACTCCGACTCGATCGCATAGCCGAAGCAGCCGCCACAACAAAGAATGACTCTGTCATGGTCAAGAAGGGCATTCGCAGCATGGAGTTGCTCTCTCAATTGCAAGATCTTGGTGTCATTGACAAGGAAGACGGTTTCTCTCTACTGCGAGATGAAGTCGAACAAGAGCTGGTGCACTTGGGTTCCATGAAAGAAAAGGTCATTGAGGAGACACGCAAGCTAGAGGAAGTCTTCCGCACGATCCGCGACCACAACGGCTTCCTTGTCAGCCAACTCGACACATACAAATCCTATCTACACAACGTGCGCAGTCAATCCGAAGGCAAGACAAGGAAACAGCAAAAACACCAGGTCCTCGGCCCTTACAAATTCACTCATCAGCAGCTTGAGCGCGAAGGCGTGATCCAGAAAAGCAACGTACCCGAGAATAGGCGTGCGAACATCTACTTCAACTTCACGAGCCCCTTACCTGGTACTTTTGTCATATCCCTGCATTACAAGGGACGGAACCGCGGGCTTCTGGAACTCGATCTCAAGCTGGACGATTTGCTTGAGATGCAAAAGGACAACCAGGAAGATCTTGATTTGGAATACGTCCAGTTCAACGTTTCAAAGGTCCTTGTCCTTCTCAACAAGCGGTTCGCGAGGAAGAAGGGGTGGTAGGGCCGTTTCCTGATACTTCCTGCGCGCAATCTGACGGACAAGTCACGAAGAAGATACGATACCCCCGATTATTACTACGTCTTTCCTGCTATCTGAGGATTACAAACGCCACACACAGACACTGATCCGACTCTCATTTATTCAACCCAACATAACATCTTTCTTATTACTACACAACAGGACATCTTTTTCTACGAATCCATCCATAAGCATCTCGGCGCCGGAGTATAGGCGTATATTGGCGCGCTCTTTCTCCCAACTTCTTTGAGGATACCCCTGGTGTGTGACGGATAGGTCTGGATTGGTTTGCTGGAGCTAGTACACAGCAGGAGTTGCTGGCTATGGACATGGATATGGCGGAAGTCTTTGATTTCCGTTTTCCCTCGCAATGCTCTACCCCCTGTTTGTGGTGGCTTGCTTTTGTTGTCTTTTCCTTTTGCTGTCAAAGCCAGCTGAGTTGTTTGCTAGCGTGTGCTCTGTTTATGGAAGTTATGCGACTGCTTTTTTACTTGTCCCTTTTCTTCACGTCTCTCACTAATACGAGTTTGTCGGCAGGAACCGAGCCTCGCCATCCTGTTTTCCTTTTTATTAGGGGGAACTCTTTATGAGTTTGAATTTTGTCCTGCGAGCAAAGGAACGATATCCAGAAGTTTTTTGACATTTGTATGATATATGGGAATGCGTATGCGAACGCGAGCGCGATGGTGTTTTATGGATGTAGCAATGCCTGTTTAGTTGCGGTTGATTCGAAATACTCTGAACTATGGATCTTTCTATTGCAATGGAAATGAGCATGGCTCCTTCATTCTAATAATTTGTAATTATTTTAAAGCGATGTTGACACACTACTCTGCTCTCTACCTTGATGGACAGCTCAGCGGACGATGCATGCCATAGCGTGCGTTGTTCCGGTGTACATGCAGGTCGATTCAGGAACCGGGTGATAACGTTCCTTCGGTCCCTCGGTCTTTCGACACGCTATTGCTACGTCACATACTATTATAGTACCCAGATGACCTGACTGATCCCCACCATCAATAAACCATGTGCATCGGAAGTCGTCGGCTCTACTACTATCATCAATCTCCCCAGCAAGCTCGAATATATCTAGCTGCCATGGAGATAAGAAAGATAACAACAGCTATACATGACGCTACGGCTATAGAATGCATGCATCATGCAAGATGCGCGCGCGCACGCAACACATAGCCCGCGAATGCAACTAGCAGAGGCGGGTGCCTGTTACACGTGCGCACGCCATGTGTACTATAAGTGAGGCGGTGTTGACGGAAAGCAGGCGCCAATCAACCAATCACAGTGACACACCTTGCTTCCGCCTGTCGATCGCCGCAGTCCGAGGGGGACGTGTGGAGAGGGGAGAGAGGAGGAGTCAGACGAGGCTACGCCGTGAACGGGGGGTGGTGGATCTATGACAACGGAGCGGACAGCGGTTGTCCGATGATCATGGGTTATGACTGTGTTTCTGCCGTTTCGGACTTGCTCACTTTCCTCTCTCTCTCTCTTACTTGTTGTATGATTTTGTGATTTGAACTGGTGATATTGAACGGACGGTTGGTGTTTTATTCTGCTGCTTTGCTGGACTTGGAGCCTTTTGTCTTATCTTGGTTTCACTATCACTATCTATCTGTCTATCAATCAACGCTATAGCAGCAGCAGCAGCAACGACAACATGTCATCCTCCATCGCGATACCAAAGCGCAAGGGCAAAGGCCCTGCCCACGACCATCGAAACTCGTCGTCTTCGTCGTCATTCGCGGCTTCCACAGGGCCCTCAACGCCTAACAACTACAATTACAACTTCACACCTTCGCCGAACCGCTTCTCGTACGGTAGCGGGGGTAGCCCGCGTAGCTATGGTTCTTCCACGCCTTCGTCGTCGTCATCATTGCCATCGGGCTCTTCTCCACAGACCAGTGCAAGTAGCATGCGTCGCAGAGAGTCTCTGATGAGCGAGACGTTTTCCCGGCAAGAACATACCGTTGTCAATGTTGGTGGGGATGAGGAGGGTGAAGGGGGATTGAGGCTGATTACTTGTGTCAAGGCTAGTCAAGGGTTTGATTGGAATCAGGGTATGTCTCGTTCTATGCTCTTGTTGCTATCCTTACTGTTCCCTTCTTCCGTTGTTCTGGCTACAGAGGGTGGCTAGTTGAGCGAATGTGCGTGTTGGCTCTATGATGGTGTGTGTGTTGACAATGTTGACAGAGATGTTCCTCCCTTCGTACATCGATTACCACTTCGACGACCTCGAACGCCGACAGGATCCGGTGCAGGATATTATTCTGACAGATGAGGAGGTCAGGAATATGTTTCCTTCTGATACTCGGCTATAGATGTGTACAGGCACGGATGCATGGGGAGGCTGAGGTTGGACAATGGATGTGCATATGCTTTGGCATTTCAACGGATGATGCGACACTGGATTCATGTTTATATGGGTTGGGATAGGCGTTTTGGTACATGGTCATGGGCGTTTGGTTTGGATGGGTGCATGCTGGAGACTGGATTGGATGGGATCAGGTGTTCGGGAGGTGTCTATATGCTGCTCAAGAAGCTTTTGCGCTCTTTTTATCTCTGTAACCCTGATGGAACAATACATAAGCTACATAGCTATTATCGCACATCAGGCCATGTATCCAACGGTGCAAGACTGTTCTGCTGCTCAGCGCATGCTTCGAGGTGGTGCAGCGACCCCACAGCCTCGGCCCCGATAAGGCGGGCTGATAAGGCGATCAAGCGTCGCGCGCGGTCCACGTTCCGCGTTCGCAAACAAACAGCCAAAACAAACCTGACCCAACTCACGACGACGGTCATTGCACCACACGATATACACACCCCACCACACCGAAGAACCTCGCATATCCGCCTCTCAGCAACTTGCGCAAACCATCAATCCAATACAAGAAATCCACAATCTCTACAACGAAAAGGAAAAAAGAACCCCACCCGCACAGCGCGCACGCTGCAAACACCAAGAACCCAACAATAACTCACCCACCCACCCCCGCAATGGAACACCGCAAAATCGAACTCCAGTCCCCAAGCGATCTCACCTACCTCACCAACCAGATCCGCACCGCCGCGCGACAGAAACTCGATCTCCACCTGCCCCCAGTCCCCTCTACAGATGAGACCGCAAACGCGCCGGATGAACTACGACGGAGCGTAGAAGACTTGGTCGAGATCTTTGTTGCGCAAGTATTACAAGGAATGCGGCAAAACATCAGTATCAACGGCATCGACGTCGTCCAGAGCAATTCAGAAGACGGGGTAGCAAATGGGGACAGGGATAGGATGGATATCGATGGGGGGAGTGGTGCATTGAACAACGGCAGAGGGGCCGAGTCACTAGTAGAAACCGTCGAATACGAAGCCTTTGACGATAAACTGCGAACGCAGCTTTCCTCTACGGTGGCTAGACGCGATGCGCTGATTGCAAAGATCAGTCAGCAGCGGCGGACGACGCCCAAGGTTGCGGCCGAAGAGTGGATCAGGAGCTTCGAGGCGGAGAGTAAAGCGTGGCAGGAGATGCAGCAAGCGGCGCATGAGCGACAAGGAGGCGACGATAATGATGATGATGATGATGGAGTATTGGCTGGTGTGGATGCGTTGGAGAGGCAGGAAGAGGTGGAGAGGAATTGGGAGAAGGCGGTGTTGGCGTTGCAAAAGTTGAACAAGGGGTTGCCCGAGACGAGGGCGAGGCTGGAGAGGGCAGGGGATGTGGTGGGGTACTTGGGGGGTGGGAAGAGCAAGAAGTGAAGGGCGTTCTTCTTTTTTGGGATTGGAGTATTGAAGGCGTTGGGTGCATTTGGGTGTATAGGCGTTTTTCTGGCGGGGCCGGAGGGGACATGGGATACCCACTAGCATTGATATTGCTTGTAAAGCATTGACGAGATATTAGATCGTTTGTGCTTCTCATGGATACAGTATGTGTTGTATGTAAGAATGGTTTTTGAGGGTGGGTACTATAGCTATGTGTATTGCTACCTATTCACGAAAACATAGTTCCGAACGAACCGTCTTGTCCTAGACGGTTCTCTCACCAACTGTGGATCAATCCTATTGAAAGGCCATATCTCAGTGTCAAGAGAAAGGCGACGACAGCGCTCAATGCGATGGAGAAATCTTGGATACGTAACATCAAGGTGATTTTGCTGGCGAATAGCTGATCGTACGATGTCTGTGTCAGCTGAGCGCTTCTCAATTAACATTAAATCTCCATCCCACCTGGACACAATATTTACCCTCTCCGAACTCCTACTTTCCACCTCCTACATTCCATACGCATTATCGACTGCGGCGCATCATGACACGGACGCCATCTTCCGGCCCTTTTCTTCCCGCGCTGACCGAACCGCGTTCTCAACCCTGCCATGTAACTACCTAGGTATACCATGCCAGTCCGCAAACATCTCTTGACCTGTATTCGCATGATCAAAGAAACCCATCTCCTCCTCCGCGCAATGAATCTTCAATCGCAACGGCAATCACATGTGGGAACTAGTTCGGCAGTGCTCGGCGCGTCAAGCTTGCAAAAGCCATACGTCATGGCGTCAACGCCGACTTTCCGTCGTGTCGTCCCGCAAGCACCCGGGTTGTTGATAAATAACTAAAAAAAAATATAAGTGTGGTTCCTGTTAGTTCAATGATCTTTCAGGACTGCTGCGATACAAGGAATCAGCTGATACTGTGAAGCATTGAAGCATGTTTTCGCTGGCTCGCATGTCTGTGTTGCCGGGTGGTGTTAGGGAGCTTGCGGCCAGCTCGCGCCTGGGATCGCTATCTCGAACGAGTGCTTTGGTAAGCGGAAGGCATGGAAAGAGCTTGGAACAAAGAAGAGGAATTACGATTGACAAGTTGGATGAAGGGAGAGGCAGTACGTTTTTCAATTGTCACCCTCCTCCTACGAGATAGTTGTCTTTGTGACCCTAACAACCCTCCCTTCCAGACCGCGAGCGCGTAGTTATCCTAGGATCCGGATGGGCAGGCTTCACAGTCGCCCGCTCTCTCGACGCCTCGAAATTCCAAACCCTCGTTGTATCTCCCCGTTCCTACTTCGCCTTCACGCCCCTCCTGGCCTCTACCGCCGTCGGCACCTTGGAATTCCGCACTGCCCTCGAACCCGTGCGCAGCCGACGAACAAAAGTCGAATTCTTCCAAGGATGGGCCGACGATGTGGATTTCAAGAATAGGACGATTACGATTGAAGAGGCGGTTGACGATCCGAAGCAGGGTGTTGCGTTGACTACGGATCGGCACGCAGGCGAGACCAAGGAAGAGAGGGAGGTGGAGCGGAAGAAGGAGGCTAAAGTGGGGAAGTTGTTCGATGTGCAGTATGACAAGTTGATTGTGACCGTGGGATGTTATAGCCAGACGTTTGGTACCCCAGGTGTCAAGGAACACGCTTTCTTCCTCAAGGACGTGGGCGACGCGCGTAGGATCCGGAATCGCATCTTGGCATGCTTTGAAGGCGCGGCGCTACCTACTACTTCTGTTGAGATGAAGAAGCAATTGCTCAACTTTGCTGTTGTGGGGGGTGGGCCTACGGGCATCGAGTTCAGTGCCGAGCTGCACGACTTGATTAACGAGGATATGAAGAAGTTGTACCCGGAACTCATTCAGTACCATAAGATTACTGTTTACGATGTTGCGGAGAAGGTGTTGCCGATGTTTGACAAGAAACTCGCGGGGTATGCGATGCAGAAGTTTAAGCGTAGAGGTATTGATATCAAGACGAGTCACCATGTGGAGGAGCTGAGGCCAGGAGCGCCAGCTGAGAGGGGTATGTCGGATGATATCGATGATTACCATTTGTATACGCTCAAGGTCAAGGAGGAGGGTGAGATTGGTGTGGGCATGTGCGTCTGGAGTACGTCTTCCCACTCTCATCACCTAGATATACAAATACTGACTCTCACCAACAGGTACAGGGCTCATGCAGAATCCCTTCGTCGACCACGCACTTTCCTCCGTTCGCGAGGCACCCACCGACCTACACCTCCCATCCTCATCGTCCTCGTCTTCCGCACTCAACAAAGACGTAAAATGGATAGTCAAGAAAGACCCGAAATCCGGCTCTATCATCACCGACGATCACCTCCGCGTAAAGCTAATCCCTTCCTCATCCTCATCCCAACAAAGCGAACAAAGCAGCTCCACAACAACCGAAGCAATCCATCCCTCCGTCTTCGCCCTTGGCGACTGCGGCATCATCCAGGATACAACCTACCCCGCCACCGCACAAGTCGCATCTCAAAAGGCCTTTTGGCTCGCCAAACGGCTAAACAAGGGCGATTTATCCCCGTCCTCGCCTTCTTCAGAGTCCAAGGGATTCACATACAGAGATCTCGGTACGCTGGCGTATATTGGTAATTGGAATGCCTTGTTCCAGGGAGGTGGCAAGTGGGGTGGGAGATTGCAGGGTTATGTGGCGTGGATTATTTGGAGGGGGGCGTATTTGACAAGGACGGTTAGTTGGAGGAATAAGGTTCTTGTGCCGGTTTATTGGGCGGTTAATTGGGTGTTTGGGAGGGATGTTAGTAGGTTTTAGGTGGGATGGGTGGGGGAGAGGGGAATGTTAAGTCTGCGGCCAAGGCCGTATGCCTTGCCATTATCGCCGAAGTAGAGTCTAGGTGATGTGATTGAAATATTCGTCTTGAGGAAGTGGGCGCATTATCACCTATAGTCTTATGAGGTTGATAATGCGGATCGCATTCTTCTCGATATAAGATGCGTTAGATAAGTACGTACTCTTCCCTTCCTACATCCTCGAATCGAACCCAATCGTAGCCGTAGCTTCCCGTCCTCGAATCGAACTGAGCGATGTTAAGCATGACATGCACCTGAGCTCTTTCAGAAGGCCTCAGGATGAAAGGCACGTTGTACCCGAACAAATTGACGACGATGTCACCAGCTTGTAATCCAACTTGATCTACATGCCATGTCATTCCAAGATCACCTTCTTCCGTGACTATCAGAGTCTGAGAGCATCCAGGGTCGTCTTTGCAGAGTTGCCTTTTCATACTACCAAACTCTCTGATTTCTATGTTTGAAGGGGATTCGTTCCCAACTCCCGACAAATGAGCAGCAAACTCGTTCGAATCGCCGTATGTTTTGTTGTTGGGTCTTACAAGCTCAAATAGACGTTGCGGTGTTATATTGATCGGTTTCAGAACCTTGTGGTAAAATTCGCACAACTCGGCGACTAAACGAGCCTTCTCTTTGGAGTCGTCTCCAGTTGTCACGCAAGACAAAACGGCGGAGATTGTACCGATATAGCGACCTTGTGTGAAAAGAGTTCGGCCATCTTCCGACAGGCGCAGCAAGCTGTTTCGCCGCTTCCGCTCATTTGAAGATAGTATCAGAGGTCTTCGCATTTCAGGCGACCATCTAAATCCCTCTTCATCGAACAACCATGAAGGTCTGTGAAGGTCTCTGTCGAATGCTACGATGGGTGTTAAGGGACGTTCGAGATAGCGCACTGGGGATCGTTCTAGTATATCAACTACAAGAGTTTCGGCGAGGACTTGTTGAAAACTCTTCGAATAGTCAGGTATAATTGGGTCCGCTACTTGGAAGTCACAGATTCCTAGTAGCCCGTAAATCTTGTCCCGGTTGTCTGTGGCACGAGAATCGAACGAATAGGATAGCCACCACATCAGGGTTTTCTTCTTCTTCGTACCTGTGTGTCGCATTTTCCAGAAATCTTCCATCGCAAAAAGCTGAGGATAGACTCCCTTAACTCCGCGTCGGAAATTCACCCAGCATGTGCGACTCATTTTTATAGCATAAAAGAAGTCTAGCCACCTTGCAACGTGTCGTCCTGTGTGTATCACTGGATCTTCTCTGGCCAAGATGAACTCTTGAATAATCCATAACCGTCTGAACCAAGGTTGAGAGCAAGTGTCCGAAAGGTGTCCCATGAAATGGCGTATATCGTAGAACAGCTCATTTTGCTTTAGAAATTTGGACATCATCGAGAAGCGTAGCTTGTCCTGAGTGGCGGAACCGAGCATTAAGTTTATTCGGCGCGATTCAGTAAGAAGTTCAGAAAAGGCTTTTTCACAGCGCTCTTGATCTTGGCACGTATTGGATGATGGCAACTCTCCAAGCCAAATCAGTACGGTCGTCGCTGAGCTGTATATCATCTCCATTTGTTGAACCTGATGAGATCGCTCCTGGACATCGTTCTGGTTGATACACAAGGCGTCGACCCACAGGATGCGGGACTTCTCAGCATACCGGAGGCGTCTGAGGCCAAGATCAAGGCTTGTTCTCATAGAAGTTGGGGTACCATCAAGAAGAGCTTCGTGCGGACTATCGGTCGTTCCCCACGCATATGAAAGAGCTTCGTATTCGATGTCTTCGTTTGACTTCTTCGGCAGCAGGCGCATTGAGAGAGGATCGTCGTACTTTCCAGGCAGTAGTTCCAACAATCGGATTTCGCCATTTTCGGATGCGATGCTTGAGTAGGCCGGATGGTGTAAATTGTGAGGTACAAGGGCTTGCGACTCTTCCTTAATAAATTGCTCGCTCATCGCGAGGGCTAGTTGAGCTGTTGCTCAGTGGGAAGCGTACTAGAGAGAATAGTCGGTAACCTGAGAGACCATGCGCATACGCATACGAGTGCAAAGGCTATGGGAGCTCATCGTCTGTAGGTCAGGAGAACGGGTCGCGATGTCAGAGGAACGAGCGCCATTGTAACTATCGTGGTCAAGTTTTAGGCAGACACGACGAGGCTGAAAGTCAACTAATGCCCGGCGGGTGGCGTGGTGGTGACCGGTGTGGCGTCGAGGCGCATCAAACCGGGACGCAACTTGGGTCGGTGGGTACATTGTTCTGAGGCACATATAAGCGCTAAAATACCCCGCCCTGCGCAAGTTGCACACTACCAAGATAGCTACAGAAGGGTTATCTTCGACTTGTTCGAATAGTCAGCGCGTTTCACAAGACATAACAAAATTTCGCCTTAGTAAATCTCATACGGGTGACTTTTAGCTTCTTGTCGCCTCCACTTCTACACACAGTTGAAAGAGTAATTCGATTCGTATTGTCTTTGCGCAGGAGGATGCTCAAAGCAACGGTAACGAACAAGTTCTATTTCGATGAGCCTGTACGATACTCGTACAGCAAGCACGTACAGGATGATGCAGCCAATCATGCCTCAGTTTTACTAGCCACATGTTTCTTACATGGAAATTTATGTCTCTTCCACTCTTGTTTTTGACATGTCTGGGAGCAGTAGAACGCTGATCTGCACCCACCGCACCCATGCAATTCAGTCAAGTTGAACAGACGAATGCCACCATTCAGAAGGCGAAAGTTGTATGATTGAAAGTGACACTGCGCCGAGCACGTTAGGAACATCGCTTCAGGTTACATTTCGCCCAACATACCTGTGGGCTTGAACAAACCATACTCCCTGTACTTGCGCCTCGTAATCGAATTTCCTTAGCATCAGGGAGGTTGTCCATATCTTCCATGATCAAACAAAATTGTTCTCTGGCTAGCAAGAAGTTGTCTTCATTATTTCCTGCAGCGTGTATTTCGATGCTCTTCTCAGTAGCTGCTATTGCCTCTTGTAGTTTAGACTCTCTTTGGTAAGCTGACCCGATCAAGCACCTGGAATTGAAGTGTACAAAGTCAGCGGATATCTCGCATGGGGTTTGCACCTTGGCTCTTCCTACCAGGCATCGCCAACTGGCATCGAGTCAGATTTGTAAACGCCTAGTCGAGTTTGTAACATCTCTTGGGCAAGCTGCATATAGCGGTCCATATCTCCAGCTCTTTTCGCAACCTGTTGTTCGAAGAATAGGCGTTCCGTTTTCTCGTCTGCCGCACGAGCTTGCGCTGCGGTGACATCGTCCCGAAAGTCGGGGTGTATAGAGCTCGCCATGGGTGGCATGATGTGTTTCTGTGTTGTGTTTGTTGCTCGGTTCGAGTTTTTATCAATGAACTAACGACAGAGTCGAGAAGTGTTTGTGGCCGTAGGAAAATTAGATAAAAACAAACCCCTCCGACCTCGTCCGGCGGTCTGGCGGTCTGGGGCGTGATTAGCTGGCGCGACCCCCGCCCAAGTTTCGTCTCGGTCTTGTTGTCACATCGACATCAACAGTCTCAATCTTCGATGCAACAAGATTACCGAACATGCCCCCGAGATGATCGCACGTGTACGAACTATCGCGTGGCAGACTAATTTTTTAGGCTATTACCCTACGCAACTTTGTCGTTACTTGGTGTGACAAAGACCGCGACCTGCAAATCGTGGTGCATCATGCATCGCGTTCGCTCAACGTGCCCGCAACTGTCCTTGATAATAACGACTCATCTTTCGAGTCGCAAGATGGATCGATAGCCACAATTGGAGATTCGGAAGTCAAAAATGACCCATGTGGGTGAAGTGGGATGATAACGAAAGTACAAGCATCACATTGCGATGTCCGCCCAGGTGGAAAGAATGAAGCGTAGGGAGAAAGAGAGATGGTTGTTAGTTGTTCACATGTACAAGTAAGTGACCTTGAGAGTCGCTAGGCGGATAAAGCATACTGGCAGTGGCGCTTCCTCTCGGATACTAAGCGACACATCACAACTGCGGGGTTCGTTTTGTCCTCAAGGCTGAGCACACCTAAGGCTCCGAAATAGACGACACCAATGCCTTGGATAGACGAGCACATCAATCCAAGACCAATCGTCTAGCGCTGATGCGCGTGATACACCGGAATGCATGCATGTTGCCACTCCCACAATCACTAAAGGCGTGCGAGGTCTCGTTCACACTTGTGAACGAAGTTTCCAGCTTTGCGCCTCAAGTACCTACAATAAGCACTTTCCTTTTCATCTCGTCACATCAAGCATGGCAGATGACAGGTCATGTATAATGGCCTTCCTCTTTCGCTGCTGCTCATAGAGGTTGATTCGCTCATGGTAGTCCCTCCTGTGTAAACGTCTTCCACATCTACCATCACCATGCACAGACACGCTGCCTACCCATATGCCAACCCGGCACCCACCACCACAGAACACTCGGGCACCTCCTCAGCCTTCTCTGCTTCGGCAAACCCTGACGAAGCCTGGACCAAGATTTCAGATCTCGCTGAACGCAGGCGGATACAGAACCGCATTGCCCAACGCAACTACCGCAAGAAGCTCAAAAAGAGGCTCAAAGACTTGGTGAGTTCTTGTGCTACCCCGCTTCATATCGGGACAGCATACTAATCGGGTTTCAGGAGCGTCGTAATGCCTCGAGATCAGCTTCACCTGAGCAGAAGCCTACCCCATTGGAGCTGGCGATGCGCACGAAATTTTCTGATGACACGATGTTCGCGACCAATCCGCGTGCCCCTGAAGAACTTACTCTCCTCCATGAGCCGCTCGAGCCTCTCGTCGATTTGATCTTCGTCCATGGCTTAGGAGGCGATCCTGTGAAGACTTGGACCAAAGGCGAGGACAGTGAACAGTTTTGGCCGCAAGCGTGGCTTCCACAAGAACCAGTTCTTCAAAATGTTCGTATCAGTACCTTCGGTTACAAAAACGACGGGGATGAGCACAAAGATACTGCATCGATGATTCATGATGCGGGAGAAGGTCTTCTGAGGGAGATTAGCACGAATGTATCCCAAAGGACGCAGGAAGATCTGCCTATCATCATGATAGGACATAGTATAGGCGGCTTAGGTAAACGCAACCTTAGATGATGGAATCTAGGCACATATGATCGCTTTGCTGACTATTCTACACATAGTGATTAAAAAGACGTATACACTTGCTTGGAGGGGCGCCGCGACCCAGGCTCTCGCTGCTCGTGTTAAATGTCTCATCTTTCTTGCGACACCACAGCGAGATGCTGGACTAGCGTCGACTGTTCGTAAAATACTCCGAGCTTCTGGTCGGTTCAACTACAATTCGTCTTTGTCTGATTTTGAGAAGACATCAGTCGAGCTCAACAAAATCAACGATGAGTTCAGACACTACGCGGGCGAGGTTCGCATCCTGTCTTTCTACGAAACCATCGAAACCAACCTCGGGATTCAATCTGAGTTAATCGTTGATAAAGACTCTGCCTCAATGGGTGTCAAACACGAACGCGTACATCCACTCAATGCCGACCACCGCATGGTCTGCAAATTCGACAGCATATATGACACCAACTATATCACGGTCAAGAACGCCATAGCAAGTATAGCTGAGGACATACTTGGTGACGCAATAAAGAGGGATGCTCAGATTTCGGCTCTAAAAACCTATCTTGACATGATGGATACACCTATTGACGAGCTCAACAAAGAGCAGGATAATCAGATCACAGGGTCATGCTCTTGGATTGAGAAGCGCAAGGGCTTCCAAGCATGGACTGGAACGCTTACACGGCCACCATATGTACCTCTATACTGGATCTCCGCGCCGCCAGCAACGGGAAAAACTGTATTAGCAGGTCATGTTATCAAGCAACTCCAAAGAAGAGGTCATGACTGTAGCTACTACTTCTTCAAACACTCTCAAAAGGGGAAAAACACCATGAGTGCCATGTTACGGTCCATGGCCCTCCAGATGGCCATTATGCACCCGATTGTACGCAAGGAACTGCTCGATTTGCAAAAGAACGGTATTGCCTTCGACAAAGAACACGAGAACTCGGTATGGAGAGTGTTGTTTGTTGGAGCTATCTTTAGGACCAGCCTTGAGAGACCGGAATACTGGGTTATCGATGCATTAGATGAATGTATCGACTCCATGAAACTGTTCTCTTTACTTTCGCGGATAGAATGCAGATACGGTGTTCAGATACTCATCACCAGTAGAGGGCCTTGGCCTGATTTTGAACGACAATTCGCCCGCCTCGGTCATCGAGGTATGACTGATACGATCCCTGTGGAAGACACAACACATGATATCAGACTTTTCTTCGAACAGAATATGGACCATCTTCCCGTCGAAGAGGAAGCAGATAAGCGGCTTATGGTTGAGAAACTGGTTACCGAATCGGCAGGTTGCTTTTTGTGGGCACGCTTGGTACTACAAGGGCTCGAGTCGGTGTATAGCGAAGAACATATCGAAGAAGTCATCGAGGGGCTACCTATGGAGATGGGTCTTCTGTACGAACGAATCCTTGGTGAGATGTCGAAAAGCGTGCGTCGAACGCGACTCGCGAAATCTCTACTTGTCTGGGCCATCTGTGCTGTTCGCCCATTGCACATCTCCGAACTCGTCAAATTCATTGAGATTGACATAGGAGCGAAGGTACCGGACCTGAAGGGTGAGATCCGCTTTCTTTGCGGTCAGCTTCTCCATGTCGACAACACTGGGCATGTTCAATTAGTGCACAGAACCCTGCGTACAGCTCTGACTGATGGTTCGTCGAAATCAGAGTTTGCGATCTCTAAAATAGAAGGACACGGACGACTCGCTTTCGTCTGCCTTGAATATCTGTGTGGGGAAAAGATGAGGTCGCCTCGCAACTGGGCCTTCGTTGAAATCCCGCGAAGCGCCAAGAACCCAATAGCGGATTACGCTTGCGCCTCGTTCTCGGAGCATCTAGTAAGGTCCTCCTCCTCCGACACTGCTCTGTTTCTGGAGCTAGAGAAGTTTCTGAGATCGAATGTCCTGACGTGGATTGAGTACATCGCGAAGACCAAGAAGAACCTTCATCATCTGACGAAGACGGCTAGGAACCTACAATATTATCTCAGTCGTAGGGCCTACCATATACCACCTTTCAGTGCGGCGGACCATTACGTCAGTCAATGGGCGACAGACTTGATGCGAATCACCGCTAAATTTGGTCGCTATTTGTTAGACAACCCGGATTCAATCTATGGTC